GACTACACCACACCCAACATCCCCCGTACGCAGTGACTGCGAAGAACCCAGCACCGCAACGAAATTCTCCCCACTGGTACTTATTCCGACATTCACTTCCGAAACTACGGCCACAGAAGGCAAGCCCATGTAAACCAACCTCGCCCCCAAGAATGCCATACGGGTAGAGTAAAGTGTAGCGATTGGGTCTTCGTGCCGCCCTTGGCTCCAATCCGACTTTTGCGAAAAGCCACGGCACACATAACAATAATATACAAGGTATGATATAATTTGGTCCAAAGGTTCAAAACTAGACCACCAAACCCCCGAATGTTTCGAAAAATCTGCACAAAAAAACCGCCAATCAATCAAGCAGACAGTCACAAACACCCTGCCGTACAGTACTTGTATTGGAATATGCACTCTTGACCTTTCCCTGTGAGCGGTGAAACCACTGACAGCCTCGGCGGTCTCATAACTACCGTATCCTCTCGCTCCCCCTCCTCCCTATGCGGTGCAGGGTAATTAGCATACTGTACTCGTACAATACAAGTAACGCTTATGCGTGTGCAATACAAGTACGGTAAGGGCGCACCCCCATACGGTCATACAATGACTAATCCGGTAACTCCACAGAAAAATACCAAGCACCGTAAAAAAAAACCCCACTATTGGTCCACCCCCTGCGGATTTTGATCTATCTCGTGCAGTACGAGTACAAGTACAAGGGGAACAAATGACGATGATGCTATGGTGCATGTCGAAAACCCCGCCCCCCGATCAGCGAGGAGCTCGGCGGAAAGGTGTGGTTGTATACCGCAGAATAACTCTCCACGTTACCTGTATGGTCCGCATGCACCGCAAGTCAATGCAAGCCCCGGTACTGCTCGAGTACGAGTACAGTACGAGTACCGCTCGAGCAGAGCACGGTATACTAGTACAGACAAGGGAAGATGATCCAGAGAAACACATAGTCTAACCAAACCCCCCCTATCCTATTGTTGCCACTCAAAAGGTTGATTGCAACTCGAACTTCCATACGGCACTGCATGTTCCGTTTGCAGTAAAGTCAGGTTGAGTATTCACTTGAGTGATTTATTGCTGGGGTCCGAAAGCGATGCATTGGATGCCTCTCCAAGCATTTTGGGATCTCCTTCTCGACCCGGAGGCAGGAATGTAAGCGTGCCATGTTATTTCTCCGTATTTCCCTACCATAGGGCATGGAATTTTCCACGATAGAGATATCTTGCGTTGGAACGAGAAGAAACCCGAGTCCGACTGCTGCTTGCTTTCTCGAGTCTCGCGTTCGTTTGATAGGATTTCGAAAAATAGACCGATCCAATTCGCTGAAAATGTGGCGACCCCGGCCGTCCGGATTCCAATTCTCAGGCAGGAGATTTCCCTCTTATCGATCGGTCCATCCTCACGTGGAGGGGCTCCATCCTGTGCCCAAGTATCCCGTCCTTCACAGTCCTGTACGAGTACTATCATAGGTACTAATCTGAACACCCGGTCAATGATCGGTTAATCTCTGTCAATAACTTAATATCCTAGCACCCTACTCATGTTGACTATAGGGATCGTACCTTAAGCAAACACTGAGCTCCCACGCGATTCGAAAGGAACGGAATCCAGCCCCCACCCACCTAACTTATCGGCTACTCATAAAACCACAGCCTAGCCTCCCAAGCGTTTCATCTGCTCGCTCGCGCCCGGTGCGAGTACAGAACCAGTAACACAGCTTGGAGCTTTCTCACCGCCTCGACCAAACGACAATTCCATCCGTTTCCCCCGAAACTGGTAACCGTGAGCTAGTCTAGATTTACCAGAATAATAATAATAATAATAATAATAATAATAATCAATACCCAGAAGATTAATATTCCTAAGCCGTGAGCTACAAATATCCGGAGAAACTAGAACCAGGGGGACTACATCCCCACGACTCGCCCAGTCCTCCATGAGACCGAGTTAGCTCGCCGAGTACCGGTAGATTAGTAGTCGATCATTTGCATTCATCCCGCAAGTCAGGCAGGGAGATACCGTAGGCCAATAGGGCGCTACGAATACTTTCAACCCCAAAGAACACGGTATCCAACAGGATTCATCCCCATGGGAGTCAAGCAATGCACCAATGACTCTGAACTCCCGACCGGCCATACAATCGACCATCCCCCCCTCACCCAAACAACCCCCTTGGGAAATCTCCGTAGCCTTCGAGAGGTACGGTATTGTGTTCCGCAGTTTCCCCCCCCGCAATTTCAGCCTCTAGCGACCACATCCCACGCCTACCGTAGCGTGAAGGCTGCGATTCTCGCAGTCCATCTACCCGTAAAGTAACAACAAACTCCAACTCGGCAGCGCCTGCTAGCCTCTTTCAGGCACTTATCGGTCCGGCCCATCCGATGCTGAAAGCCAGACTCGAGAACAGCCTGGAATGCATACCGTACTCGCTCCGCCGGTCACCGTACGAGGAATGGAATCGCCAAAACACCCGTCGTCGTCGTCGTCGTCATCTCCGCAGTGGGGGCCCATCGCACTCACGATCCTTGCCGAGATGACACACGTAAAAAGCCAGGGCAATGTTTTCGGTGAGTGAGGCATCTTGATGGGATCTAAAGGTGACAGTTACCGTACTGTACTGTACTGGAACCGCCGGGGGACCGCTCTCTACCAAGGCAAGGTATCATATCATACCAGATCTGAGCCAGGCTCTCTGGAATGTCGTAGGGCTCGAGCGTTGCTTGACACGATATCGTATATCATACAAAGTTCGAGCACGAATGGTGGTAAGGACGTGAAAGTTCCCAGGATACCGATATTATACCAGTACCGTAGTCTATATTGGCTCCGCCAGGGCACTAACGACCGCCCGGGATCCTGATCTACTGTGGGAGTATCATGGTAAACTCATATTGTAGTATGATACCACTAGGGAATCTACGACACCTATACCGTACTGGTACAATGCCGGCAGACTACAGTACTCCCTATCACTTGCAAAAGAGCAGTTGCTATGGTACTGTATCAGTGCAGTGCATCCACCCCCTCCGGAAAATAAAAATAAAAATAAAAACAAAACACCCACTCCCGCACCCCTCTCCCACTACAAGTGCCCCCGCGCCTCCTCCCCTAGCCCCTGCCCAGTACGGTACAGTATGATACCGGTACTACCGTAGTGCACTACTGATACACTACCGCATCCTATAGAACCTTCCATACCGGTAGCATAGCATAACATGCCAGCACCGTGAAACAGCGGTCCAGTACAGTACAGTACCGGTAAGACTCGTCCCTCGCTACACGCCCCCCAAATCACCATACCGCTCTACGAGTGCCGTACAGTACGGTACGATAAAGTGAGGTAATGTGATTCAAGATGGCTGACCGTCACCTTCGTAGCCTGCATCAAAGTGTCCTACGCTAGCGCTCCAATCGGGGCTTACAATTACGTATGGTGTCGTGGGGCGGGAAGTAAAGGCGCCTACGGTAGCTACCTACCCACCGCCTTCTTCTGTACGAGTGCTCAGGCAACGCACGAGCACAGTACCATACTTGCTCGCATGCGTCTAGTTCGGGGTTAACAGTGATGGCAGCTGCTGCCCCACTGCGATGATCTTCGGAAAAGATGAGAGGCGCAATCACGGTATTGATATACTTGTGCCAGCTACCAGCATCTATCTCTCTCTACTCGACGGCTGGATGGATTCCGGTACTATGCCCTATCTCTGGCCCGAGAGGGCGGATAATTCACCCCATTATTCAAAGATATCATCCCCATTGCGTACCCGAGTGCAAGTAAGGTAGACTATGTCTTGGACTGTCATACGTTTCTGGAAGTCTCGGGGACGGGGGGGATTGGGGAACTATAGCGGTAGGTGCTGTTACTGTACTAGCGCTCGTACAGTTCTTGCACAGTACTCGTGCGGTAGTCCACAAGAGCACAGGCTTACTTCTCGCATGTGAACTTGTTCCCGCTCTCACGGTCCTTATTGGATATTGGTGGTTCATTTTTTGCACCTCTAAAACCCCGAGCTGACCTATCATGCCAGCTGCTGAAGCTTTCACCAGGGATTACTTCCGCGAAAAGAATAAAAAAGAAAGGAAGAAAGAAAGAAAAAGAAAAACCCTGATTTGGCCACCGAAATAACCTATGTACCACACCCGCACCCCATCCGTTAACTTGACAGACGTGACCATTCTAAAGCGATACAATTAAAAGCCCCCAGATAGTTTGAAAAATACATGAAAAAAGCTCTCTACACACCATCTAAGAAAAGAACTTCTTGTAGGCCGCCTTCTCCCTCTCTTTTCTGGCCGCAAGCCTCTTTTTGGCTGCATCCAGTTCCTTTGTCACGGCCGCGTTGTCGGGTGCGAGCTTATGTGCCTCCTTTAGGTCATCTAACGCGCCATCCTCATCCTTCAATGCAACCTTCGCTATGGCCCTCCTGTAGAGTGCCTTCGCTCTCTCGGGTCCAGCCACCTCTTCGATGACAAGAGCCTTGGTTGCGGCATCCTCCGCTTCCTTGAATCCCTTCTGCTTGTTATGCAGGAGCGCAATGTTGGAGTACAAGGTAAACTTCAATGCCTTAATACTTGTGAACACCTCTGGTGGGTCATCCTCAACAAGCACCGGGTATTCCGCAAGGTAGCGTAGGCCCTTCTCGTATTTGTCCAAACCAAGCTCGATGTCACCAGCCCTGAAGGCTTTGTTACCAAATTCCTTGAGCTCAGTTCCGATTCGTAAAACAGTAGGACCGTCCATGTCCGGATTCTCGTCATCGGGGAAATCCTCGTAAGGGTCGCCTGTTCCATCGTTCTTGTGAAGGCCAGCAGCCTCAGCATCAGGTCCATTCAGTTCACCACAGTCTAAAACACAGTCAGCATTCGTTCATTTAAAAGTGGGGTTCTCATTGATGCAGTATCTACCTTCAATCACAACGGGTTTTCCAGGCTTATCGGTGTTATCAATCTTAAGATCCTCTATCTTCCTGATTGTGCTCTTCCCCGATAAGACTTCGCCAAAGACTACGTGCTTTCCATCAAGATGGGAAGTCGGGACAGTAGTGATGAAGAACTGGCTGCCGTTGGTACCGGGACCAGCGTTTGCCATGGAAAGCAAGAATGGCCGGTCATGCTTCTTCTCGAAATTCTCGTCCTCAAACTTGGTGCCATAGATCGATTCACCGCCAGATCTGATAATATTCTGTCAGCCTTCTTCCAACGAAGGATGTGGGTCCGGGACAGGTAGAGAATGTACCCATTACCAGCAGTGAAGTCACCACCTTGGATCATAAACCTCTTAATAACACGGTGGAAGGTGGAGCCTATAAGAGCAGACCAGTCAGTAGCCGTGGAGATCAACCGAAAAGTTAGGCCCACCTTTGTAGTGCAACGGTTTTCCGCTTCTTCCAGTGCCCTTCTCGCCGGTACAGAGTGCGCGGAAATTCTCAGCAGTCTTGGGAACGACTAGGTAAATGGTTAAAATATTGCTCAGGGGTTCACCCAGTCACAAATAGGGGATTCTCACTATCATTATACTAGTGTCAAGTTAGCCTCAGATGTCAAAGGTCTAAAATGAAATGAAATCAAGATGATGGTTATATGAAAAGCTTACCAGCTCAAAAGCAACACGCTCAGCTCGCTTCCCCGCTATCGAGATGTCGAGGTAAACTCGAGGGCGGTCTGTAGGCAAAGGCTATAGTGAGCCCAAACTTCATTCACCCCACCAAAAAAAAAAAAGAGAGAAACCCCGCGCATCTAAAGAGCAGATGGACAGGGGGTAAGAAAAGGAAAGAGGAAGGAAAAGAAAACTTACTAGGGGCACCAGCGGGGGTGGAAGAAGCGGGTGAAGCGGTTTCTTCAGACATTGTTCGTTGTCGTTTGTTAACGGATGGTTGATCAATTGGAAATATTTTCGGGTTTAGTGGGGGAAGGTGAGGATATGGAGATGGGTACAGCACTGGTGTTGGTGCGGGCGTTGAGGAAGCGTTTCGAGCCCTTTTTGAAGATACGCGGAAGGTTCCAGAACCTCCTCCTGCTCCCAACACCACTCCTCCCCCTCCCCCTCCACTTCCACTTCCACTTCCACTTCCACTTCCACTTCCACTCCCACCTAACAGATCCGAACCGTAGGGAATAATTCTAGCCCCGGCATACTTTTCCCCACCAACACTCCCACTCCCAACCTGTGTCCCGCTGCATCTCAATTGCTCGAGAACCTTCCAATCCTGTTGCTGCACGAGCGAAGAAACTTGCATGGTTTCCCGAAGAGCTTTTTTTTCTTTCTTCTCCTTTCTTTCCTTGCGATTGACCCTATTCCTCGTTGTGTAATAAGAATAAGGTGCTGCTTGCCCTTCTTTTGCCCTGAGTTATGATGTCCCGTGTACCTTTATTCCACTTTATGGCTTTCTCTCTGCTTTTCGATCAGGGAAGGGAGGGAAAGGGAAAAAAGTATATCGGGGGTGGTAATGTAAGCTAGGATAATGTATCAAGGGCGGGTAGTTACTTCTGGTACGGACAGATGAGGAAGGAAGAGCTCTCAGAAAACTTTTGGACTACTTTTTCACATTGGCGACGTGCGTCCCTCCCTATTTAAAAGGTAAAGGGGGGAGGGAGGAAGGGGTAAAAGAGTGAGGTGGGGGGGGGTGTGAGGAAGGAGAGCTCTACTCTCCCGAGTGACCACGCGTGAGAGGCACCTGGCACACTGGGAGGACTCACTCTTCCTGGTCATTGAACTGGTTTGCGGGGTTTTTTCAATATCTTACAACGCTTTTACCATCTTATGTCAACGCGGCGGATAGGGAGAGGCAAAAGGGAAGGGGGAGCTAGGGGGGGGGAAAAAAAAATTGGAATGGGAACTACGGTAGAAGGAAGGAAGGAAAGCAGGAAGGGGGGGATCAAAGCAAAAGCGTGAAAAGGGAAAGGGAAAGAAGAAAAAAGTTTTAGGTATCATACATATGGGAACCGGGTCACTTTTTGGTTGCTGGAAGCGGTGAGGCTTTGGGGCTAAGGCTGGGATTGCGATTTTCGTCAAGGCAAAAGGTTACCGTATTGCCCCCATCAGGTGTGTGCAACAGAGCGGAACCTCATTCGTCGAGACACTCGGTACAGGTACCCTGAGAATGGTAACAAAGACGATGGCAGGTATGATAGCAAGCGAGGAATACAGTACCGGTACCATATTGAAACAGCAATGCCAGACTCTGTGGTCGGTATCATAGACTTCTCAGGATTCGGGGTTCAGACCATGGCCACGCTGGATACTGGGGTTAAGTTGTCCCCAATGTTCGGGTCGCGATACTCCAAGTATGAATTACGGTAGAGCCCACCACCCTCGGATGCGATGGTGATCCGACTTCGGATGCTCGCGACATTCCATTTCTGTGCTCGCACGAGCATACTGTATTGGTACGAGTGCCTCGTAACCTCGTACAGTTGCTCGAACGCGTGCCAGAAGTTGTCGTGGAATGCCGAGGCAGGTACAAAGGCCCAAGGGTACTTCTGTGTGAGTACGGGCGCTGTACCAGCACTGTGCTCGAGCACCCTTCTCGTCCGACGGTACCTCACACGTACCGTGCTCGAGCGCCAGCAGCTAGAACCGTACAGTAGTACCTGTAACTCGTGGAGAGAGAATCGACACTCTGGTCGCGGGCTCTCCCAAGATCCCTCCAACTGGACACATAACACGATATACCGGTACAGCACGGCCAGGTCACCCAGAGGGCGAAGAAAAGGGCTACGGTAGGAGGAAAAAGGAACGAAAAGCACTTCCAACAGCAACAACAACACAAGAGGAAAAAAGAACCAACAGGTCTCTCTTCCTTTTCCACAAGCTTACTCGAGTACACCTCTCTTCTTTGTCCTCGCGACCTTCCAGTCTCCCCGGGCACTTAGACTAACCACGATCCTCCTGTTCATGTTCTCATGCTTGCAGAAAGAGGGAGCTAGGACCCTTCGGGTACTGCCAGAAAAAAAAATCCCCCCTCCGGAAACGGAAGAACGGATGGAAAGACAATAAGGGGGGGGGGAAGAAAAGGAAAAAGAAAAAAATTTCCTTCCTTCCCACCCAACCCAGCGCAACTGCACCGGCAGATTCCGGTTACAAGCTACTGTAATCAGTGAACCGCATTAGGGTACCGGTATGCGAAATCCCTTTGGGTTGAACGAACAAAATATCCGAGGATGTGAAAAAAGGCCGAAAACGTTCGATCCAGATCGACTCCGCCTACGGCTATGATATCGTAGGAGCTGCAGTACACGCCTTCGGGTCACCAATATTATGCTCGTAAAGTCATTTCATGCTTGCACCAAGTGCGAGTACGAGTACTCGAGCATCATCGCCATAGCCGCTTTCGTCCCGGGCGTCGTGAGATGTCTGTCTGTCCGCCTGCCGGGGGGAGATGCCAAAGATGCCAAAAGATTACCGGTATTGTGACTTTTCTTTTCTTTTCCCTTCATTTCCTTTCTTTTTCCGTTCGACCGTCTTTGATAAGAAACGTGCGGTAGTCTACCGGCACGAGCACAGGACTACCACATAGCGAACCCTACTCTTACGAGTGCTCGAGTACCATACGGCACTGCACCGCGTCCATTCGCGCCGTATGGCAGCCTTCAGCCCACCCGCCTACGCAGCGCCCGGAGTCAGGTGCTGCCCTTCCCCCCTTCAACTCCCTCCCCGATACAGTTGATGTGCCGTGGACTGAACCCCATCAGCCCCCCAGTCCCGAAGGTCCACCATACCGTATCGTGGTGCGAATGAAATAACCCCCCCCGCCCATAAGATACCGCACTCATCTGGCGAGAAGCGGCAGGCAATTTCACGTCGAAATAGGACAAGAGGCGGCTGAGGTGAAACTTGCGATCGCGTCAAAGTCGGAGCCCTGAAGGACTCAGTCCTGGCTACCGTATGTCGAGAGTTAGGATACCGGTACTCGAGTACGGCGTTTCATCGCAGATTCCTGACAGGGTGGGAGTAAAAAAATCTTATTTAAACGTACTCGAGTACAAGTACGAGTACCGTGCGGTACTGTAGCCGTATGATACCAGCGCTGAGCCTGACGGTTTCACCCCGGAATAATGCGGTGCGAAAAAAAAGACAAGAAAAAACAAAACACACCAACAGACTCCTCCCTCTTTCCAAAATGTTTCTCACCGCACGAGCAGCATATCATACTGATGCTACCCGTATACATATCATAGCGCGGTCGGTTGGTCGGTAATTTAATTTAATTTTCCTTTTCCTTCTTGTTTTTTGCCTTCTCATTCCTCTCTCGGCCAGTTGGGAGCCAGCCTGCTTCCAAACGGCCCGTCGATCATCCGCAGAGCCTCCTCTGTTACGCACGATGCTTGGCGGCTCCTCTGCTGCCTCTACGAGTACATGTTCCTTCCTTCGTGCTTTCCCAAGTTCATTTCTAACCCCCCTCGCTGGAACTGCGGTATGTATTCTGCATTCCATTGTTACCGGTAACTACGGTGCAAGTGTATTGTATTCGATGCCCTCCCTCCTCGACTCCGATTTCCCCTTTCTCTTCACTTCTCCATAAGAGTACTATCGGTAATTATTTTTTCCCGCCTCCCTTCCCTCCTTCCTGCCTTCCCACGCGGTCTAAGCCCCCTTACGGTACTTGAGTGCGCTCCCGATCCAGATACCGTACGCATCACTTCATACTTGTACTCGAATCTTCACTCCCTTGCCCTTGCCCTGCCGGCACCTTACCGTGCCAGCACTAGTTCAATTCCTCACCTTCTTTTCCTTTCTCCCCTCTTCTCCCCTCCGTATTTCCTTTTTTTTCTTCTTCTTCCCCAAATTCACTGCGAGAATGGCACCTCGTCATATCGCACTCGAGGGGAAAGAACAAGAGACCCCAACGAGCCGGGTATCGGTATGCGTCCGGGTGCGGGATCGGCTACCTTAAAAAGGGATGCGGATTCTCGGTGCCGTACCGGAAGCGAAGGAAGCTGCAGTCCCGTACCGTTTTCCGGACGGTACGTATGGGCTCCGGGTATAATCGGGTCTTGGCTTACGCATGCGATCGCTTCAACTTTTCTTCCTTTTTTTCCATTCTTTTTTTTTCTTTTTCACTCTTTTCTCGTGCCTGCCTTTCCGCCTGGCTGCTGGGATAGGTCCCGCAGCACCGCAGCTGGTGGAGATCGTTCTGTGCTCTTGCAGTGCAGCCGCGTCCACAGTGTTTCCATACCATTCCAAGTGCTGCTAGCCCTCTGCTTCCATCATCCGGTCAAAACAAATTGTTCGCAATGTCCCTGGAGACATATCGGAAGGTGCTCGAGGACAGTAGTTGTCTCAAAGGCTCTGACTGCCCCGCTGTTAATACGTATTGTTCTTGAGGCGCAAGGAAGGGTATGTATGAGAACTTTACAGACGTGGCTGCGCTGTGCACAACAGTACAAGTACCCACTAGTAGCATGCGTGTAGTCGTCAAGGTCAAGGGTGGGCAGGTGAGCACGATGGAGGACGTTGGGATCTCTGGCACTTTTGGGACTTGGGGAGGTTACGAGCATCGTGCGCGCTCGATTGTCCACATACTATACCCCGGCTTGAACCTTTTGCTCCTTGTAAAGCGCCCTAAGAGGGGTGGTGAGCTAGATCCTACCGTGCAGTGCGGTATGGCGACAATTCGTTATCGTGTGCCGGGTCTTGTCTTGCAGGCGGAGAGACAGGCAAACGGGCATAAAGGGCGCAACGTACAGTACCGGTACCGTAATTGTGCATACATGTGAAAGAAAGAAAGAAAGAAAGGAAAGGAGAGGAAAGGGAGCGAAAGAGGTGTAGGTAGACTGTAGACTTGGAATAATTAATGCGCTCAATTTTTATTTTTATTCTAAATTGTATACATATGTGTTTATCGTGATGGAGTACCGGTACGTGTGATGTTCCGGCAACCTTTTACTCGTGATGGCCCAGTCTTCGATCATGGCGGTATCCTTATGGATGTGTTGGCATCGGTGAGTGAGCGGTTGTTTGTAATGTTCGGGCGATTTGGAGGCGGAAAAAGGGAAGAGATAGACTTCCCTTTCTGGGAGATTATGAATACAGTCGCGGAACCCCAAGTACTCGAGTTCAGTACTCGCCCAAATGCACAGTCCACGCTGATTGGCTTGTAGGTTGGGTAAGCGGGATTGTTAAGATTCGATCAATCAGCAGCGAACCGTGTTTGGACGGGGTGAGGGTGAGGGTGAGGGTGTTGCGCGATTGTATCCGGGTGTTTTGGGGAGGTGGATAGATGGAACCGTTGCCATTGAGGGGCCGGGGGGGGGGGGATTTCGTTAGACTCAGCTGATGTAACTACTTTGACGGGGGTGGGTTGTATCATACGAATGTACTCGAGTACTCGTACTCAGGAGTACAGTTACGATGCCGGTATGGTATCGCGCAAGCGTTTAAAGGAAGGGGGAAAAAAGAAAGAAAAAAAGTTTAGTTGAATTCCCCTGGAGTCCGGGGGCGGATAATCATGTGGATTTCACTTTTGCCCCACACACGTCTCCCGTGAGATCCGAAGATGGAAAGTAAATGAACACATATCATATGTAAGTTGGGAGGAGTCGGATTGGGGACCCGGATATGACGTTCATTTTCCCTCGTCAAGCTCACCGCCGTCAATTACCACCTCGCTCGGCTTGACTTGACCTTCTCCGTTTGAAGAGGCGACTTTGGTCTTATTTTTTCCTTGTGTATTGCCTTCCCCTCCTCCTGCCACCGGAGGAGTTTCGGCTTGCTTCATTGGTGAAGAAATCTCGAAGGTTACCGGCCCATCATTAACCAAACTGACTTCCATCATCTCCCCAAAGACTCCGTCTTGGACCTTGGCGCTCCCAGCCTCGGGTGATAGCTTCTTTTCCTCAACGTACAGTTCTCGGGTTTTCTGTAGCAAAGATGCGTAGATTTCCTTTGCAACAGCTGGAGGACAAGCTCCATGGAAGTTAGGCTTGTTCCCCTTCTTTGTTGTAGCTAACAACGTGAACTGCGATACTAGTAGAACCTGATGATCGAGGTCGAGGACAGATCTCTTCCATCGTCCACCACCTTCATCATCCCAGACTTTTAACCTTAGTATTTTGTTGGCGATTACTTCGACATCTTTCGGGGTATCAGATGGAGCGACTGTACGGAGGTGGGATATCGGTGTTAGCATTGGAGAAGAGAGATAGGGGCGATCCCATCATACCAGCAGCAAACACGAGAAGCCCTTGGCCGATTGAGGAGACAGCTTCATTTTCGACGGTAACAGAAGCCGAGAGGACTCGCTGTATGATGGCTAAAATGGTGTTAGATAGAGATGGCATTGTGGAAAGGGCATAGCGGATTGGGAAGGACCTTTCATGATGCTAGCAGGCTTGTGGGGCGGAGGAGGGCGGGGGGGAATGGTGGGGTTTGAACGGCGAGGCGGATAGGGAGGAGCGCGGTTTCAGTGAAATTGAAGCGGGTGGATGAGGCTCTGCTGCAAACAGGCGAGTTTCGAAGGAGAAGCGGAGGTTATGTTATTGAAAGAGAAGATGTGGGACCTGCCGAAAGCAGCAAGGGATGGATGCCGAAGTTCGAGCGAATTCCTTCGTTTTTTGTGGGCAGAATGTGAGCGAGGAGCGAGGGTGAGTGGCTTATGCCGAAACACTCGAAGTTTACATAACCTCCAGTGCATGATCAGCCTGCTGGCATTGGAAGAGGAAGAAGAAGAAGAGGAGGAGGAGGAGGAGGAGGAGGAGGAGGAGGAGAAAGGGGAGGAGGAGAGGTACCGGTATCTGTAAGAGGGGAGAAAGGGAGATTATGTTAATAATTATAGACAACTCTTCTCCTGTTGACCTCAAGCCTTTTTTATAGCATGGCCGATGTATATTTATGGTTGTGGCTCATCCTTCCCCTTCTTACTGTATATTCGTGCAAAAGACTTGCTATATTGTTTTACAGTGTTTTGGGTGGGGATAAGGTGTTGATAGCTGAGGGAGAGATGCCCTCCGAACGATAGGGCGCATTGGATATTCAAAAACCACGGGGCTATCCGCCTGCCGCCTTGCCTTCGACTGGAATACTGCAGCCAACTTCTGCTTCTGTAAATTCTTGTCCAACCCCAACAGGAGAGACCACTTCGAGCCCCTGCTAAGTGCTGGGAAAAGGATAGACCCAAGCCTTGACCCATCTCTCACAACCTCAACCTTACTGTGCCTACCGTATGTAACTCTTTAATCGACGACACTTCACCCGCTTACCAACGTAAGGAACGAGGACAGCAGAGATCTGGTCATCACCACCACCATCACCCGAGCTAGAGCCGCTTTACACTTTTCCGCCCCACAACCCCAACACGCAACAACGACGGTATCCTCAAACAGCCCCCAAAGCGCAAAGGTACTCTTTAAATCCCACTGCCCGTGATCCCTCAACCTCCATCCTGCCCGCCTGCATCCTCTACCTCCTACCGGCGCACCACCAAACGAGTTTTCGAGACAACTGACGCCCCTCAGATATACACAATGTCCGCCCGCAAACTCCAGCAGGAGGTCGAAAAGGTCTTCAAACGTGTATCGGAAGGTATCCAGTCATTCGAGCAGATCTACGAAAAGCTCCAACACTGCAACAACGCATCGCAGAAGGAGAAGCTGGAAGACTCGCTAAAACGCGAGATCAAGAAGCTTCAACGACATAGAGACCAAATCAAGACATGGGCGGCAAACTCGGAGATAAAGGATAAAAAACCTTTGTTGGACGAGAGGAAAAAAATAGAGACGGTAAGGGTTTCCCGACTTTTTGGGGTCCACTCTTTCATGCCCTTCTGTTGCATATACCCTCTCCCCGCTTTCCTTCGCTTTTGGTCTCGTAGGTAGGCGCAAAATATGGTCTGGGCAAAGGGAGAGCAATGTTCTTTGTTGCACATCTCGCGTCGTGGGGGAGGGAGGAGGGGGTCAGTTTGCTGCTGCATTTGATGGTTCTACTTTTCTGGTGGCGATTACGGCGGCAATGTGCGTCCTCTTGTACCTTGCGATATATTGATATATTTGTAGCGATGGAGATTGAGACCGATTTCTTTTTGTTTACTCCGAAAGGAAAAAAAAACACGCATATTATCCCCCTCTTTCATATCTTGCATGTCATGGAGTTTATAGTCCGAAGCTGATGTGTCTCTTTCCCTGTTATTCGGGGATATGTTCGTATTGCTCTAGCAAATGGAAAAATTCAAAGCGGTGGAGAAGGAAATGAAGACCAAGGCTTATTCAAAAGAGGGCCTCATGGCATCCACCCGTCTGGACCCTATGGCCCAAAAGAAGCATGATTTGGTGACCTTCCTATCAGATTGCACGTCCGACCTGGATCGTCACATCGAGGCCTGCGAAGCTGAGGCGGAATCGCTGAGTGCTACTCTGAAGAAGGGAAAGAAGGATTCGTCGAAAGCGGATCGAGTTGCTGAAGTTGAGAAGCAAGTGGAGAGGCATAAATGGCATCAGGCAAAGCTGGAACTGATCATGCGGCTTTTAGAGAATGGGCAGTTAGAGGTCGAATCCGTAGAGAGGGTCAAGGATGACATAAGGTTCTATATCGATTCTTGGCAGGATCCTGACCATCAGGAATACGACAGTGAAAACATATATGATGAACTTGACCTTGACGAGGAGAATGCTGAAGATTTATACGGTATAGGGGCGGATGCGGATAGGATGTCAAGCCAGGAAACCCAGAGTATACAGGATGATATATCTGAACGTCCGGGCTCAACGAAGGACTCTGTCACTGGAGGCCGTAGGCCGAGTACCCAACTCAAATCCCCCATGCCAGCTCTGGCAACATTACATCAGCCAGCTAGTTCCGCGGCTTCTCCGTATATCAACAATGGCCTACCCCCTTCAAATGGCTCCATGAAACCGGCTCCCATACCAACGCGGCCACCTGGTGAAGCTCTGAAGTACGCGTCAGTAGCGACTGCTGCGGCGGCTGCCGACCGAAATGTCGGAATTGCTCCTCTGCCCCCTCCACCTGGTATGGCAGCCCAAGCGTCAGCTGCCAGTTCAGGTTTGGGGATGTCACCCTTACCACCCCCGAACGCTCCAAAACAGCATTCACAACGACAAGGCAGTGGTACAGGGAGTTTACCTGCGCCGGTGCTCACAACTTCGCCAGATAGGTCTCAGGCCTCTGTACCCCACACACCTTCCATAGAGGCGACAGTTGCGGCTGCGCCGTCTCCTAAACCTTCGAATGCTTCAACCGTCCCTCCCATATCCCCCAGGAACCAACAAGAACCGGTTAGGCATGAGGAGCCTGCCCAGACCAAAAATTTGAGGAATGTGCCGGCGAGCGAGCCAGAGTCTTCGAGGTCGATACCGGAGCCTTCTCCATCACCAGTGCCGGAATCACAAACTAATGGAACGAACGGTAGCTCCATGCCTTCAGTCGCGTCCCCATGTCCGGAACCTAGTCCCCCACCAGCCGAGGAATCTGTGTACTATCTCCCACCTGGCCTTCAGGACCTAATGTCATCCTTCGAGAATACCAAGAAACGCTTGCTCCCCCAACCCGGAAGCCTCCACCGCTCACTCGAGATCTCAATGGTCAGCGCGCCAGACACGATTGACGCCGAGAAGCCTCGCCATTATAAACCGACTACAAAATACAACACCCCTGCTCATTACCCTCAAGAACCGCTCCCCGTCTTCGACGACCCGAGTCTGTATAAGCGCATAGATGTGGACACGCTCTTCTACGTATTCTACTACCGTCAAGGCACCTACCAGCAGTACCTTGCTGCTAAAGAACTCAAGCGCCAGAGCTGGAGGTTCCACAAACAGTACCAGACTTGGTTCCAACGCCATGAGGAGCCGAAAACTATAACTGAAGAATTCGAGCAGGGAACGTATCGGTTCTTCGATTATGAGTCTACGTGGTCGGTATCCCTTTAATTCTTTTTATTTTTTTATTTTTCGTTCTCCGATCTGTACTTTCCTCTCCTTCTCCTCTCCCCCTATTATTTTTTTTACCTCTATTTGATGAAATCGCTGAGCTAAAGTTTGTTGGCGCTTGTCTGTTTGTCGCTTGTCTATTATAGGATGAATCGCCGTAAAACGGACTTCAAGTTTGCGTACAAATACTTGGAAGACGATCTTTAGGCTATCTATCTGTTTGTCTGTAAGGTCGGTCGTTCGCGCATGGGAGGGAGTTCTTTCTTTCTTTCTTTTCTCTTGCCGCGCTTCATTCCTGTCTTCTGTTCCTCTCGTCATATGTTTTCTCCTATAATTTTGGCCTTTTTGGCCTTACCACTCTACCTTTATCCTGTTTAGTTCTAGTGGCTCGTGGCTGGAAATGGTAGAATGATGGGAAAAATGGGCAAAGGGAATATGGATATGGATGTGAGGTCGGCGATGCCGTAGGCGTAGTAGCATTACGGTAGTAACAGTAGTGGTGAGCAGTATTGTCTGTCTGATGGTTTGGTGGTATTATATGATACTTTTGAAACCCCTTTTGCTCTCTACCATGTTATCCGTGTTGGCTATGTCTTGTGCGATCACTGTTTGGGTTGCGGTTTGGTTTAACTTGCTCGGGGGTGCAAACCGGTTCTGAAATGGCATTGAATCAACTTTTATCAAAAAAGGTTTCCCCCGCGATTGAGCTTTCTGGGGAGTTTGACAGTTATGGGGCGAATTTGGGAGATGGGGGGGATTCCCTTGTGAGGAAGCGTAGGTATGAAGCATTGCTTGGGCTGACAAACTTGTTGAAATATCCTTTCTTTCTAAAATGGAATACCATGTCTTATATTTTGCTCGATGTTTGGTATCTCTATCACACGTGGAATACGTGAATCGCTGGCGTTATACCCTGCTACGTGACGTTGCCATCTTATTTCGCTATCGTGGGCTTGGTTGCGCTTTGTTAGGGAAGGGATCGAGATGCTTTCGTGCTCCAAACTTCATGATACCTCACTCGGAATCTATGCCCGGGCTCCCGTGATCCTTAAAATTAATTATATCTTGGTGTTTAAGTCGGGTAGTGCCCGCAGTGAGAGGTCTTGGCGATAGTGGCCGGCTTGGACTGATTCATGATAAAACCTCCGTCACGATAGTGGGGATCTCTGTTTCCGCGCGAACACGGGCATGGTAAAGATGCGGAGAGTACCAGTAGTGGGAATTTGAAATGTGAATTACTACCAGACTACACTGTATGAGCTGCCAGTTGGGATGAGCAGCGAAACCAACGTTTATTACAAGGATTTAGCATCACAGTGCTCGTCTGGTATATAAAACGGTATAATATAATATACACATGTCAATGTGGGCTACAGTAAAGTACTAGTACAGTGCCGACAGGCTTCATCTGTGCATATGTAGACTAACTTGGCCCGCAACTCACCTTCCAATCTGATCTTGGACATGCACGAACGCACCGCCGGGTTTTCCATGACCGGTATTCTATCCACCGTGGGTGCTGCTTTACCCGTGAAGGGGGGTTTTTTTTTATGCTTCCTCTTTTGCTCAAGGATGTAATTTCTGCTATTGTGCATTCGGTTCTTGGTGATGCGGTATTTGGCATTGGGTGGGTGGAAGAGTTCGAGTCTACAAGTACAATACCTGCTAGTGGGGTAAGTGGGTGCTCCCAACTTTGAAATAACGTGAGATGGCTGGCTGGCGTAGTGGCTAATGGTACCGGTATGTCGAGAACTGATTAGCCCCTGTTCAATTGATAGGAAACCTGGGAGTTCGATCCCCCTGCCTCCCAATGAGTAGTTTTCCAAATCTGGGTGGTGCACCTTGCGGCGAGGCTCGCAATCGGTGGGGTAGTAGGGGGGGGGGGGGGGGGATAGAAATATAACCTTTTTTTTTATATACCCCCTCTGGCTTATAACAGCGGATGCAATTCCCCTGATGCAGGTTCTCTGGTACAGTAGGAACAGGACTTATCCGGTCTATGAGGGTGCCGGGCCGTTTACCATCGGATCACGCTTTCGCTATTAATGGCCTAGGAAGACTGGCAGCGTATTTTCGGAGGAGGAGGGGGTCAGTCGGGATAATTAGTGTTGGCCAGCGGTGACTAATGCTTCTAACTGATTTCTCGAAGGTATCGTAAATTTTTTCTCCAGATACCCACCCATTGCAGGGCCCTCCCCTCCCCGCTCACTCCCCACTCCCTGGCACGAGGACAGTGCTTTCTCAGCCCCCCACGTATCCTATCCGACAAATAGTCCGCTGTCTATATCAAATGGATGTACAGTACTGATGATCTCTTTTTTTGTGTTTTTGGCTTCCCTGGGGTTGTATCTCTTTCCTCGCAGCTTCGGAAACCTTTTGCGGCCATAGTGTCCGGAGGGAATGCATACCCTTCGCTTCAGCTGGGCATATGTATCTGGGGTTTTACTGGTCTTGATTGATCTATGGCGGAGTTTCATTCGCGTCTCTGAGTGTTCTGTATTTTTGTGTCAGGGTCTGAGTTACGGAATATGCATGGCGAGGGACTTCTCGGATAGTGGGTCACCCTGCACAACGAGATGGGTTGCTGTATTGATCGGGATTAAGGGTGAAACTAGTATTATTGGGGGGCCTCTGTTTTTGTTTTTTAGTAAGGGGGAGATAGAAGGTCTCGGTGATCGGGGGAGTTGGGAAAGGATAAGGTTGTTATTGTAGTGGCATTTCTGAGCGCTGAATATGGACTAGGGAGGGGTACGGGACCGCTCTATGAATGGGTGATCGGGCTGACTCCTCTGGGTCTCTTGGTGATTGGAACTGCGGGGCTATTATTCCATACTGTGCTTTAATGCGAGTGGGTATGGGCGTGGGTAAAAGAGTGTATTCGGGTGTCATTGGTGTAAAAGCGCTAGGATGGATTGGGGTGGTGAGGGTACTGGGGGTTCGAGTGATGGTCTGTGAATCTTCAAGAATCTTCAGAGGCTCGGAGTGCGAGGAGCAATACGGTAATGGCTGGATGGGAGTTCTGGTATTATGAGAGACAGTTATCCGTCATATTTCGCAGCAGAGCAGAGTTCCGCATCATGCTTCTGGAATTACTTGTATAATTTCCATCTCCCCTTCCCCATCCCACCTTAATGCAATTAAAAAGAGCGAGGAACCCGAAGGGCAAAGGAAGCAAGAGTTCCATCCTGTCAACACCGTTTCTTTTCGTTCCGGACTTATTTCCCACCAAACCAGGAACTGAGCCCGCTCTTGGCCTTAGAAGCCTCGCTCTCGATTTTGAGATCTGCCTCGTCAATCTTTGACATGATGGCCTTCCCGGACTTGCCTTTTGTCTCCTCGAGTTTGTGTTGGCCTTCAGCGATACGCGATTTACCTGCTGCGATTTTCAGCGCAGGCTCCCATGTTTTTCAGCAGAGTTGAGGACAAACCATCACGAACTGTGGAGTCGATAGCGCTGCCGGTTCTCGCCGTGGATTCCTCAGCACCAGCCTTGCTCTCTGTGCCACGACCGGGGAACTCGTCTCTGATGCCTGTTGATGCACGAGATGCGTCCTCTGTTTGTTTATTAACCGTTTTATTTACGTTCTAACGTGGTGGCGAACGAACTAACGTTTCAACTTCTTGCTGGCGACACCTGGGTCTCCTCCGGCATTGTAGAAGTAGTATGCTGCAATGGCGGCCACCCCGGAACCGATATATATTGGCAAACGGTTCTTTGGAGAGCCAGTAGCTCTGGGAAGGGTTCCTGCGGGGTCCGGAGTAGGCATGTTCAATTATTAGATACTATAGGTATGGAGTTTCAAGTGATAGGGGGAAGATGGAGGTTGGGGTTAGAGTGAGAGCGTGGTCGCAATTATAGTGTGGCGAGAGGGTCGTGATTTGTTCCGTTTTGCAGAGAGGTAGAATGGGGGATCCAGATGTGAATTTATTTGGGGTCGAAAGGAAGGATAACGGTGAGCATGCAAATACGTCATTGAGGCAAAATATCGAGGCTAGGCGGTTTTGGGACGGTTTGGCGGCAGGGGGTTACAGTGGGAAGCTTGGTGGGGAGGACGGGGAAAAGTTGGGCTCTCCCGAGTCGCTTTTCTTGCTGAGGGGAATTGGGGAGGATCGAACGCTGCTGGCCGGAGGGGGTTGATGGGAATACTAGAATTGGGGAGGAGCACGGCTTACTCGTAGGGTACCGGTAGAACACAGCACGTTTCGTGGTATAACTGGGCACATGCTGTTCCTGGCTGTGTGCGGCTTCTGTGCTCGAGTATATTATGGCTTGGCGAAGCATTAGTTCCCTGCGCTGATCCATCTCTTTCCCAGTGACGAAACTCTTCGCCCGCTCAGACAGCTTGTTTTCTTTTTGTGATACTACTTCTTCCCTTGTTTCCTCCTGTCCCTCCTTTATTGACCCTCACCCCTTATCTCCTATGTCACTAATTTTTTTCTCGTTATCGTCGTTGCTCTATCCCGCTCCCCTGATTATCATTGGTAGCAATTAGCCACTCATCAACCAATCGATGGCCTCACTATCGTCTTTTAGAGCTTCGCGTTCGTTTAATTCTACCTCCGGCGAACTCAACCTCCGTATAAACCTGCAAGATAACACCGTATCGCGACCTCCTACTGCGCCCGTCTCCGAAGCCGGCGACGCCTCGGCCCAACCGTCCATCGTTTCAGCTGCCTCTTCAGCTGCTCCTGGGCGCCGAGAAACGCTCCGGAAAGCGATCGCCCAGAGAAAGTATCGGGGATGGACTATCGACCCAGCTACCTCCTCTACCGACGATGATGTAGGATTGGTTGATGGTGATGGTGTGCCTGATCCGAGGGCTGAAGGAGTTGTGGAGAGTACGGAGGAGGAGGACATAGAGGTTGTCGTGCCATCCGGTAGCGGCGGCGAAGGTGGGTCGCTGCAGGGCCGGGGGAGAGACAGGTCGAACACGGGCGGGAATGCGAGAAGGGGTAGTGCGGAACACGTGCTTGAGAGGAGGGGGTCGCGGAGGCAGAAAGAAAAGGAGATTGCGGAGATGGATATTCTTTATGAGAACCAGAGGGGGTAGGTTTCATCTAGGTTGCGTTGGGGTTTTATTGGACTGATGGAAGTTTGCGTGGGGGGTAGGGTATTTATTTGCGGTATTCCCTTATTTTCCTCGAGGGGATTGTTGAACCTCGACCCCGCGCCCTGGCAAAATGGGTTATTTCGTGATTCGGCTGTGAGCATTGTCAACGCACAGCTCCCAGATCCGTCGTGGGCTTGGGTGATTTTGCCCTCTCTGCCTCCCGTAATATGTTTTGTGGCTAGCCGTAGCTGACTCAACATAGGCCTGGAAAACCTGGTATGTGGACATGACACAAGATGTGGATGAGGAAGGATGGACGTACAGCTTCTCTTTCAATCCTGCGTTCTCGTGGCACGGAAACCATGTGTGGTTCCACTCCTTCGTTCGTCGACGTCGGTGGCTACGAAAGCGTATTAAAATATTCTATAATCCGGACTTTTCCTCTCGTGAGGGTAGCCAGGAACGGCCCCATGGGCTTAACCAAGACTATTTCACCATACACTCTCGGCACTTTTCAGACGGTGGATCGGCCGGGGCAGGAGGCCGAAAGAAGAGACAACGAAGAAGTGTAATGGAAGGAAGTGAATGGACGGGGCAGAGTGCGGGGATGGATGATGATGATGAAGAGGAAGGATTTATAACTGATATTCCAAAACTTTTGAGAGTGCTAAGAATCGCCCGATTGGATCGCGAGAAGATCGAAGTTGTAGAGAAATTCCTAAAGGATGGTGGGGAGGAGGTGGCATATCTCCCCGAGAGGGTATGATTCCTTTTATGTGGGAAGGTTTCTTTTACTGACCCAATACTAGATACCTCACATCATGTCATTGATGATATTCCAAGCATCCCGTCGACAACTCCTAAAGCTCCTTATTACCGCAGCCGATGAACTCATCCCATCACAACCCTCATCTACCGTATCAACCCCACACGCTGAGCGCTCAGATATTCTCCCAGCGGATGGCCCACCAACACCACAGACAGGGCCGGTGCTGGGGCCGCAGCCGGGAACGCAGGAAGCGGGCCGGGGAGCCGCTAGGCAAAGAAAACACGAGGGCCTCAAGAAAGCAATCGAAGCTGCGGAGCAAGAAGTCCGCCGACTCGAATATTGGAGTGACATTAAGGAGGCCGCCGCCGAAACTGAGGGCAGCGTGAAAGCTGCCGAAGAACGGACTGGTGGATTGCCCCTTGGGATGGATGATTCGGAACTCAAATGGAAGGGAAAGGAGGTGGAAAAGTGAAACGAGTAGGAATCTGGTATATCTAATTGGGTTTGGAAGGCTTTCTCATGGTTGCCGTTACGGGTGGTCTTTGCTTTTTGCGTTCTGCTAGGTGGTTGGGTTTATTTTCGCAAAGGATTGCGGGGTTTCATTCTTCTGTTCGGATACCAGGCGCATTTTACTGTGGGGGGGGTTTTGAAAATAAAATAAAAATAGGACACCATGAATTGAGAAAGTGTTCATATAAGTGCGTTGTTATTCGTGAACTCAGTGGCGGCGCTGGGGGCTTATTCGCCTTGGTGGTGGGCGCCCTGCCCATGTTTGCTCGATGTACTGCCGCTATCCGGGTGGATCAGAAGGATCCGCACTAGACCGTCGTGCTAACACAAAAAAGAGACCTCGACTGAGCGAAGCCAAAAAGAAATTGCCACCAGTGCGGTTCGAACGCACGCATCTTTCGATAGCACAGTTTTGTTTTCAAGAAACTTAAATGTGCCGCCTTGGACCACTCGGCCATAGTGGCTTTTGATGGTTTGCACCTCAATTTTATCTATCTACGCAAACTGACCCTCTCTTCCAACAGCCGCCAAATTCGGGACTCTCCGGTCGGCGTCAAACGGCCGTTGATACCCGTTTAAGCCTCAGATGTCGCATCTCTCATCGCGAATCATCCCCAGCAACACCACACCGCTCCCCCTCCGCATCTCCCGCCTTAGTAAGGCCCTTTCGTGCAATCGGACGCTTTTTCGACGAGAATCCACAGACTACAACATAGGCACGTAATGGCTGGACTTACAAGTGAGCAGCTAACGCTCTTTAAAGATAATGGATATTTGGTTATTCCAGCGGGGTTGTCGCCCGGGGTCGTTGACGAGTTGAAGAGCGAGACTGCGAGTCTTCTTAATGGTTAGCGCTCTCTTTCTCGCTGTTTGCAGTTATAATACTGTGGTTATATTGTAAGGCGACAAGGGTGGCAGGATGGTAGCTGATATGGCCGTTTTCCGATCAGGGTTCTCACTCGAAGGGCACCCGATGACTCGCTTCTCTACTGGTGGAGAGAACGGGGAAGACGGAGCGAAACATGTTGGAGATAATTACTTTCTGGGCTCGAATGACAAGATACGATTCTTTTTTGAAGAAGGCGCATTTATCCTGTCCTCTTGTTCCTCCCCACCGGTTGCTGACAGCCGCTCACAGATGCCTTCGATTCCACTGGCACCCTGACGAAGCCGAAACACCTGGCGATCAACAAAATTGGCCATGCCCTCCATTGGCTGTCCGCCCCCTTCGGCTCTATGACTCTCTCCCGGCGTAACAAGGCCATAGCTGCGGACCTGGGCTTCCGCGATCCTCGCGTGCTACAGAGCATGATCATCTGCAAGCAGCCGGAAATCGGCGGAGCCGTGCACCCTCATCAGGACTCCTCATACCTATATACCGATCCACCTAGCGCCGTTGGATTCTGGTACGCTCTTGAAGATGCCAATGCTAGGAATGGATGCTTGAGTTTTGTCCCCGGGAGCCACAAGTGGGCGCCTATCAAGAAGAGGTTTGTTAGGTGTGGTTCCGGCGGGACGGGGTATGAGGAGCTGAGCGAAGGGCAGGGAGACGGCGTTAAGGAGAGGTTCGGCAGTGAGGTAGTGGAGGTTAGGGAGAAGAGGGATGAGGAATTTGTGATGGTTGAGGTGAAGAGTGGCGATCTTGTCCTTATCGATGGGAATGTGTTGCATAAGAGTGAGAGGAATACCAGTGGGGTCTCGAGGTGGATTTATACTTTCCATGTGAGTATTTCTATGTTTTTGTGTTTGCTTTTGTTCTTTTTGATTGGATGGGTTTGTTTGCTGATAGCGATGGCGGTGGTGTAGGTTATTGAGGGGGAAAGGGAGTACGATGAGAGGAATTGGCTGCAGCCAACGGAAGGAGGGTTCATAAGGTTAAACGAGGTTTAGGTTCGATATCTTGTGTCCATCACTACCGTAGCTTATGATTTAGCTTCAATGGTATTAAAGCTCAGCACTGCCAGGAAAAATGCATCATCTAGGCTACTCAATGGAAAGGAGCTCAGGGGCTTGTGCATGGTGTCGATAAGATATATAGGCGGCAAAATAAAAATAAAAATGTTCAACTTGTTGTCGATGCAAGCATCGAGTTGCCTTTCGTTTGCCATAACCTCTTAGGGCAATTATACCCGATCTATTAGTCGGTCGCCGCGGGACCGCTCCCGCGCTCGGGTAAGTTAAATTAATTTACAACAATGCGGTTGACCCGGGATAAGGGGTTGGCAAAATGCAATCGAGTGATGATCGATGATGATTAAGCATATTGTTTTTTTGGGTCCAACTTAGGAGGGTACATCCGCTTTTGAGACTGTTATATTATACCCAAGCCGGTTACAAACGCCGCCCTTTTGGTATCATATCGTACCTTGCACAACGTTTCTTCTTCAAGCCTCTCCCATTATTTTCGTTCTGGGGGGTTTCTATCTCCCCCCCCCCATTCGCCATTCGCCTGCCGACTGCTCTTCACGAGAACTCGCTGACAACAGGTGGAGGGTACGGGTGGTAATCCAAATCGGTCAGGCTGATAGTTACTTTTGGGAGCGGGTGCACTGTGGAGAAAGCGATTTCCTGAAACAGATCAGGACTCGGCTTGGGGCAATCCGAAGGGGTAATTGCCCAAGAGATGAACCCTGCTGCATCCACTTTTCTCTTTTTCTTATCATGGCAGGCGAGGCGGTTGTTGGCGATCACCTGTGATGTTCTGTTCGTGTCGACCCGTTAGAATATGGAAAACCTGGGGCTCGCATGTGGACAGACATCCTGGGATTTCCGGGGCATCTGACGGCTTTTGCCCGGTCGTTTTGAGCCCTGACTTGGCCGTTATTTGAGCTCGGCCGGGGGTTGGCGTCTGGATATGGCCTTGACGGATCGACTTGTGCTCTTTGGAATCAAGAATGGACCAGCTGGGCTGCTGATCCATTGGTCATTGATCAGGCGTTGGTTGGGCTGGCTGCTTGGGGTGACCGGGAATGACCAGATGGGATATGCACAACGCCCTGTGAAATGGGCTGATCACCAGGAACCGCTTGTCGTATCGGGAGAACTCTAATTCCCTGTGAATCCGATTAGCTGTGGATAGCGAGCGCCCTATTCGCAGAGTTTCCGCCAGGTCAGAAAAAGAAAGCGTTGCTAGGTAGGAAAAGAAGAAGAAAAGGAACTGGGATCATGCCTACCATGCGAATAATTGTTATTATTGTTATTATTATTATTATTATTAGGGAGGTTGAGGGAATCAAAAAAAACTCAAATGATCATGAGTACACTGTGGCTCACCAAAGATGCTACATATGCATAGCCACCTTCATTTCTGATGAGTCTTGTGGGTGGCTTTTGAGGTGTTGAGTTTACATCCTGCTGCTATTCTGAGACCCTTAGCTGATAGGGGGCACAGCGCGGGACCCCACTGCCACCCCGTCAATTCCGCCGAGAGGATTATTGAACGAACAGCTTGTGAAACTCTCCTTCATACTTTATCACTCGCTGGCATGGCTGCCTCGCTGTCGTACATTGTGGTGAATAGGAGACGAAAGATACAAACAAGAATGGAAGGGGTGGCTCGCTTGACTCTCCAGGAGGAACAAGCATATACCTTAATGCATGAAAATCCTCTTGCAGGTGTCATACTACGACGTAAGACATCTCTTTTGACGCAATTCGTCCAAGTTAATCTCGGACGATGATACCCAATACTAGTGGCTAGATCCTATTTCTGAGGTCAGGGTTTTTTCTTCTACCCCTCAAATAACCCCGTTAGAATCCTATATCTATCTCCTCCACGATCGGCGTCCAGTTTCAGGACCAGTGGACGCCGCCTAGTCCCCCCCCCCCCCCCCTTTTCCTACTCAGCTTGTTGTCCGTCCCCGTAGAATCTTTCTGTATCGTTCATATGGTGCTCTATATATCCCTCTTTCTTATTTTATACCTTTATACCATCTTTTCATTCACTGTATAAGTGTTTTGCCGAGGAGGGTTACGGGAGACTTAGGCTACCATTCTCCCACTACCCGGGATGACCTGTCGCTACATGGTGAGTGCAGGAAGATCGACAATATAAGGCACTAGAGTAAGTACATGGCACACAAGTTTACCTGCCGTGGGTTGGTTTTTCAACTTTTTCAGGTTACATACTGTAGCTACTAACCAGCGGTCCGAGTAAAGACGTTTATCGGACGGAAGGATGCGGATGTATGGGGGGTTTATGCCTACTCTTTAAATAATTCGAAGTGAGCAAATCTATTTTCTAGAAGCGTTCGCTTTGGATTATATTTGTTTCTTCATACGATCTTTGCTTATCTTTGCTGTTGTTCATGCTTGCACGAATTTTTCCGTTTATTACTGTTTTTCACTGAATTATGATTACCGGGTGCGCGAGGGAGGGGATGGAGGATCGGGAAAACTATTCTTGGGGGTGATATACAAAAACGTTGGTGGCTACTTTGGGGTGGTGGTGGCGCTATGTGGAGGTTTGTCCTCTGTTGCTGTCCTGAATGAGGCCTCCTATCATATCTGGGAAGTCCCCCCCCCCCACGGGAAATACCTACCATACCATATGCCTAGACCTGGGGCGGTCGCAGGTGGGCGGTATGTCTTATTTCTCTCTCTCTCTCTCTCTCTCTCTCTCGTAATATTTCTCACCGGGCACGTTTGGTGATACATTCACAGTATAGCACCGCAATTGTCCCTCCTTCCATCGCACCTTCTGTTCTCTCTTTCCAAGGAATCAGGAGAGAACCCAACTCAGCTCAAAAACCACGGGCGATGCGGCGTGTTGTACATCACAGTTCGTCGACAAGTTCTACTATTGCCCCGTCCCTTCCTCCCCTCCCCGGTCTCCTAGAGCGAGCCGGGATACCCCAGCCCCCCCGCACAGCTATAGATATAATACAGTATGGGGACAAAAGGGATCGTCCAATGCCCTTTTCACACCAAAGATGGACATTTTTAAACAGACAATTCTAAACGCTGCTTATATGAAAGCACTTCAAATCATTTCATCAGCTAGGGAATGACCATCTATTCCAACCTCTACAAGTAGAAGTGTAAGGAATCAAAGCTGTCTTCATTGTTCATGATTGCATCAACCAGTGTGAAAGTGACCTAAATTTTTGTATGGGGCTCCATACAAAAAAGTACATGGCAACCGATACCAGAAACTTAAACAACCCTTTCTCCATCACTTTAAAATATTTAAGGATTCTGTGATATTTTCATGTTATCTACATGTTTACTAATGCATGGACAAATTTGCACAGGTTCTCATAGACATTGTGTGGTGAGAGAGGGTGGTGAAGATGGGTACTTTTGGTGTAAAAAGGGCATCGGACGATCCCTTTTGTCCTAGTACCTTATAATACCAAGAAGCGCACCTCCATGAGACGATATCATACAACTCCTAAAGTACTATAGCACCTTTTTCCCGACGGTAACCCATTTCTCACTATGATAATATCCCCTGTACACCCCACCTCTTCCGAAAGAGGAAAAACAAAACACCCACTCACCGACCCTCACTCGCACATCTGACCTGTGATATTATAGATTCTTTGGTACGGTTAACTATGATTATCAAATCTACTTCATCTCCGGGACACATCACCAATCCCTTTCTCACGCCCTGACATTACCGCGGGCAAGACTACTGCCGCGGGGTAAATGTTTTCAAGGGATGGATAAATAGATAGATAGAAGCTGACGGGACGTAGCGGCACAAGTAGGATATGGGTTTGATATATGTTGAACCGGAAAAAGGACGTTGAATAAACTGGTATAGAAAGACTAGGTTGGCGCGCGCGGGGGGTACCCGTAGTAGCCGAATGTTCTCGAACGCTTCGCATAGGCCCTCTGTCCTACTCCTAAGCAAAAGTCCTAAGTTGGTTGGGACTGGTAGATTGTGGATGTCATGTTTACTCTTCTTACCCTTCTTGTTCCACTTGTTAGACAGATCCTTGTTCGTCGTTTCTCTTGATGGGGGTTGTCCGGTTGCCCACTTTACCGTGGTTCACTGTTAGTTATGGCACCGGATAGAATCAGTCTTCCGTGCATCTGCCCACGAGCCATCGTATATTGCTATTGCTTGTCCGGTTCTCGTACCCTTTACGAGTGAACTACTGTTGGTCAAGGGAGGAGGTGATTCGAATACTAATTCTCTAGTTGTGACTGTAGTGATGGCCCTTGCTACAAATACAGTATGCACTACTGGTGCCCAACTACCCGCCGGCTACCGCAGACCAAAACCAATCAACCAATTCGTGAAATGGCCTCTCGTTGAACCCCCCATTTGTTATCACGCTGCCGTATTGTAATAATCGCGAGTCGCCAATGGTACGACACTAGCAATGTCGAACAAATAAGAAAGAAAAAACCTAAAGCAAACAAACCCGCGCCAGTGTATGATATAGTACATATGGGTGTTTCCCTACTCCCGCTACGCACGAGCGACTACTCACAGCCCAACAGAAAAATGTCAGACGCTCCCTTCGGAAGAAATTCTAAAGAGTAGGTTGGGGTAAAAAAAAAGTGACTTTCGGAAAGAGAAGGGCGGTGGGGTGAGGATGAGAGGGGAGAAGGAGTATGAATGAGGCGAGGAACGAAAGCCAAACTGTGCGTTTTTTTGAAACAAATGGGACCTGATGGAGAAGTGCTAGGAAGGAAAGGAGGAAAAATGTACCGGTATGTATGATGGATCATATGAAATACTCGCTCTCGACAAGCAAACAAAAGAAAACGGAAAAACGGAAAAAAAAAACAAGCAAACAATGAATCAACTGGTGGAACAACCAAACAAGTCAGCAAGTCACCGTCACCTACCAAAAAATTTAAAAAAAACCCATCACCTGCTTTAAACTAATTATCAAACGATCATGAACTTCGAACAAAGATGTTTCTCAATTATTCCACATCCTCCTCGCTGTCACTGCCCATGCCACCAGCATCATCACCCTCATCGTCGCTGGGGATGTCATCGTCTCCCAACGCCGTAAGCACCAGCTTCGCCCTACGATACTTGGGGTCATCCTCAGCTTGCACAGCGCCCAACTCTTCCCGGCGTGTCTTCGCAACCTCCTTGGCTTCGGCTAGCAGCCTATCCTTCGGCCCCTGCGCCACCAGCCCATTCACGTAAGCCCATAGGGCAGACTGCGAAACTTCTGCGCTGAATTCCTCCAGGTTCCAGATGTTGCGTATGATCCAATTCTGCTTGGTCTTGGAGAACTTCCAGGAGGAGCGGGCTTGGTAGTAGTTTAGGAGGTAGGCAATTTGCGGCTTTGTATTCTGTTCTTGGCTGCGGTCCTCGGATGGGTCTGGGGAGTGCGGGAGAGTGCCTTGTTGAGTGGTGGGCGAGGAGGAGGATTGCTCCTCTAGCAGTGCTGGGTGGGGTTGTGGGGACCCTGGCAGGCGCGGAATGTTGCTCTTGCCACCGATACCTCCGGGGGAACGAAGCGTGTTGGCAATTGAGTCATTGTCTGCGGACTTGGCGTCGTCAGCAAAGGTGACCGTCTTTGTGTGCGGGGTGGGAGTTTTATTGTTGGACTTCTTTAGGAGGGACTTTGGAGTCGTGACGGGTTTGGTTGGGGGAGGAGTGGTATGATGCTTTTCCGAGTGTGTTGGTGGCTGCGGCGATGGTGACGCGATGGACTTCTTCTCGTCCTTCTCGCTGCCTTCTTCGTCCGATGAATTCTTAGTGTTGGTCTTTTTACCGTTTGGTTGATCGTCGGGCGTTTCGTGGTCAGAACGCTTTCGCATCTGGTCCCTTTTCGATGTCTTCCCCCTCTTCTTCCCCCTCTTCTTCCCCCTCCTCTTCTCCCCCTTCCTCTCCTCCTTCTCTGGCTTCAGTGGGGAGGTGTCACTATTGGTGGGTTTGCTACCGTGAACGGCTCCACCTCCCAAACAATTAGCTTGAGCTCTCTCCCCCAGTGTCTCCTCCACACCTCCAGTGGCTTCCTCAGAGATCGCTTTTCCATCCCTGTGCTCGTTGTCCCCTTTAGGTCCATTGTCTTTCTTCTTCTTGCCCTTCCTCCTCCTCTTGGCTGCCCTCTTCGTTTCCTTGCTCCCATGTTTCTCCTCCCCAGGCTCGGCTCCCGCGGCCCTCTCCTCCAGCTCATCCGCTTTTCTCTTCAACGCGGATGGAGACGAAGGGCCCGCCACTTTCGAATCCGGACGCCCCATACCGGTCGGAGCGTCTGGCCGCGTCGTCATGTTTGGACGGATGAGGTGAGTTGGTCGGCCGTTATATCGACGTGAGCCTGTGTGGGAGGGGGAAGAGGGAAGTTGGTTAGAAGTAGATTTTTTCCCTCTTTTCCTCCCGGTTGACAGGGTGGGTAAGGTAAGGTGGGAAATGCTTGGCGTTGGCGGCAAACCCCTGCTTCGACGTGACAACCATTGTGGTACAGCTACCGGTATTGTGCTCGGCTTTGGTCGCGGGGGAAACCAACGCGTATCATACCGTACAGCACGGCTACCGGTAAATTATATGGAGTTCCCACTTTTAATTATCGTGAGTTGCCCGAAACCGGAATCTAAAAATGATTGATTCCGTGATTCAGTATTTAGTATTATGCGGAGTACTCGAGCGCGGTATAGTAGTGAGGAAAAATGGAAAAGCTTTATATCCTTCCTTACATTACCGCCATGTCAAGAGTTGAAAATTCTCCGAAAATCCCACTTGACGCCTTCCGCGCCTTCTTCCAGAACCCATGTGACTTTTCTGACGCGTCGGACCACTTTTGTGGGTCCTAAAGGGCAAGGAATTGTCCCCGAGATTATTGAGTTGCTGCGCCCATAACCCTATACCCTAACACTTTGACTCTCATAGTCATGACATCAAGCCCATGATGCTCTGTGGAACACCATATCACAAGTAGTAACCCATTATCGGGGTTAAGCATCAGTGCGCCTTCGGTTCTTTGGCGAAACTCTCAAGCAGGAAAGTCGCCATTGGCCATGGATAACCTGTGCTCGTCCTAGGCAGACAACTAAAGCCAAAAGCGACAAGCCCTCTCCTCGTTCCGGGAATGGGATGTATGATAAAAATAAAAATGGTCAAGCCACAGCCTTGGTGCTGCACATTGAGATCCTATTTGCTGATTATGCAACGACTCCTTCCACTGCCCGCACCTCTCCTACGGCAGGTCGCCCTAAAGCACTTTACTCCGATCATTTTCCCATATTGATGCGATGATTCTTCAGCTTAAGCACTGCTTTATTTGGGAGTGGCGCGTTGGTGCTAAACCTCGATGTTCGTGCCGGTATCCAGTTTGTCCGTCTGGTCATGAAGTTCTCACGCCTATGGAGGTATTGCGCGGGCAAGCCGGGGTCGAGGGGGACTTGGTGCGGATTCGCAGCCGGACCTCTAAGAAAGGAATTTTCGAGGGTGAGGGTGTAGAGGGCTGGCTATATGTGAATAGGGACCTAACACCACAAGGACCTGATCTCTGCACATTCCCCATTTTGTAGGCGTTAGATGTTTGCGGGTATTCCTGATATGATAGAGTATACCTTTTATAAGAAGTGCGAGCCACTCAACTATGGTATGGTACGATATCATAGCAAAACTGTACAAAGTTGGGTTAGCATTCGTGCTTCCTTTCCCCCGTCAAGAATGATTGAACGCGTCTAGGTGGCAAGGGAGGAACTCCCACAGAATTTTTCCAACTAGCCAAGACTCTGGGCATGGCAAGAAGAATCTTTATTTGCAAACGGTGTTCATGAAGCGCTGGAACTGCCACCATAAAGGTCTCCCGGATAATCCATCATTGCGCACCCCGGGTTCGGGGAGTGAGGAGCCCCACACAACCGCCACTGGGCCGAAACCAAACCTACTACTGGTATTCGCAAGGGCTTATTTACCGAGAAATATTTCCCTCTGTTACCTGTAGTAGTTAAGCTACTTCTATTGGCGGGGGTTCTTCAACTGTGCAGCAAATTCTCACGACAAGGTTGCCATAGATGCCTATACGGCACGCAAAGAAGATCTAGTGCCCAAGGGAGGAGGAGTGGTGGTAGTGGTGTGAAATGCCCTGACTGCTTAGTCCCGTGGGATTTCAGCAACCTCAATCTACCAGCATGAATCACATATATGGTATCTCACTGGACTCCTTGCGATACCCCCCCCAGAGCACGATCTTGGCAACTAGAGGAATGTGTTCCCCCCTCCCCCTCCCCCCAAGATTTCCCACACAAAATGTTCATTTCTAATATGGACCTGTCAAGCTTCGGAGGGTGTGGAGAAGGGAAAATAAATAAATAAATGGATAATTCATGCTGACAAAATGTGGGCAGAGGATCCCCGAGCTAGAGGGCAGGTGACAGGAATTGTTCTGAGAGTCTGAGTTCTGAAAGTGAAGTTTGAAACCTGCACTGTACTAGGGCCGCGAGGTTGTATCATATGGGATTCTGCATGTCGGTAGCGATGAGATGAGTCTGTGCACTTTACATCATCGTTCATACTTGGAGCAGTTGGTTTACGGGTTAAAAATCCTGGGTGCTAAAACCTCTATCCCCCCCATGTTATAAGGGCTAGGAGGGGGGGGCATGTTGTGTTCATCCGTGATATAACAGCTAATTGAAAACCAACATTTTAGATGGAAGGCTTGGGAGCACAACTGTTTCAACACCAGGGTCTCACACCACAACCCCCGCTCCACTGCCACTATGCCTACCGTCAGCTTACTTATAAAAGTCAGGAAAGCGTTAAAGCAATTACGGATGCAATACAAATACGAATAAAAATCGGTGCACCCCCAATTCGCGCAATACCAGTAACGCACCCAAGAATTCGCCAACCTCTAACCCCGAATCACACCCCATCACTCGCCAATATGCGCATTCCCGCCGTCACGGCAACACTCCCCCTCCTCCTCCAATCACACGTGATGCCCTCCCACCATATCGTAGCACGGTAGCCACCCATAGCGCGGCCGGCCACTTGGAAGAAATTGTTACTTCTTAAAAATGGTGTGTCAATCTCCCTCCCGCCTTCTTCCTCCACCGCTATTCTTCTCCGGGATTTCCGCAGGAGCGCTAGAAACGGCGTTCTCTTTTCCTCTCCGTCTGCTAGGAAGGGAAGCATAGTTGTACACTGTGTTGAACTGATGAAGGAAGGAAGGAAGAAGGTTTGGATGACGGACGGACGGACGGGCGGACGGAGGGGTACCTTTGGATTCGCTGGTAGAGGAGAGATCGAGGAGCTAAAGAGAGAGGGTAGTGATGGTGGGAGGGGCAGGGGGATGGTACGTACCATGATAACTGTGGAGGGAGGGTAGATATGGGGCGGTTATCCTTAGTCGTTTTAGGTTATCGTTGGTGGTGTTGGGTTCGGAGAAGGTTGACGTTTAGTGTGGTGCTGGTAGGTAGGCTGGCCACGTTACGTTAGGACGCACTGATCGACCATCCCTTCTGTAAACCATCTCTCTTTCTCCCTTACGGTATTCTCAACGATTTCTATGGTAAAATACTCGTTCTTCTAGGCTATTCATGCCATGTTCTGTCATACTACTTCGCCATCCGCGTGCCACCTGCCTTTCGATCTTTGATAACTAGCTCCATCGCGCCTTTACTGACACACACCCCTCTCTTCCGGAAAGGAAAAAAAGAGATCAGGGAGAAGTCTCTGAAATTCCTCTCCCCGCAACACCACCAGACCAAAGTAAATCATATTGAGCAGCCCAATATACAGATTCACCTCTATCACGATCCCCTCCCCTCCCCAATAATACAAATAACGACAAGAGGAATAATAATAAAAATAAAAATGGCACCTCACGCGCACAGAACCACACCCCCAACCAACCAACCAACCATCCATCTATCCACCAATTCAGCAAGGGCGATAACAGTAGAACATATATACCACCCATAAACCCTCACCCACCCACCCCCCTTGGCTCCCCATCTCCCCTCTCCGGAAGCTATATATCTTGCGAATACGTACCGTGCTACCCACGCACGATGCCTATGACACAACACCAACATACACCACACCATCCCCATCTCATCCCATCGAGAAATCCTACCTATCTGCCTGCCCACAACTTATTCACAATACACAAGAACTACCGTGTTGCGTTATACGAAATAACCCGGCAAAGCGATAATGAATACCCTCAACCAAGTTAAGCTACTTATCATACCTTGCCACACACACCCTCCTCCTCCTCCTCCCTCGCCGTGCTGCGCTGCATCGCGGGCTGGGGATATTTCTAAAACTAGCTTCCTCCCCTCCCTCCCTCCCTCCCTGCTTGCCTACCTATCATGCCTCCCCATCTTTTGGAGGAGGAAGTAGAGGAAATGAAAATCTGGTCAATATTCGGCAGATCAAAAAAAACAAAAACACCATTTCTCTTCCCATTTTTCACCTTTCCATCTTTTTTTTTCTTTTTTTTCTCCTTTCTCTCGTGAGTGATACGTTTCGACAGTCACGCTTATTAGCTCTTACGTCCCAACTTGCTAGCCTCCATAATCGAGATTACGGTAGTCCTCACCGTAATCGTCATCTAGAGAGCCAGGGATATAGATGGAAGGAGGGAGATCAAATTTATCCCCGAAAGAGAGAGATAGCAAAGTACTTATCTCCCAACAAGAAAAAAACGACGACCCAATGGAGAACGACAGACCTCTTTTCCCACCCCCCCCCCCCAATCGCGAAATTCCCCCCCTCCCCCTCCCCCCTCCCCCAAGTAATGTATATCCCCATTCAATAGACTTTAGGATAAGTACAATGGCATGAAGAAGAAAGAAACCCACGAATCGGCGTGCTCCTTTTCAATTAATTGGTTAATTAATTAATTAATGGATGAAGGAACCCTTGGCATGATGTGATTTTTTTTTTTTTTTTTTCAAATGTGATTTCTATTCCCGATTTATTCCATTATTTTTTTTTCTTTTCTTTTCCCCTTTTCTTTCGAAAAGAGGGATTGGGAAGAAAAATGAAAAAAAATGAATGAATGAATGAGTAGATGATGATAATGATATTATCACGTAGGGCGCTACAACCAGTATCATAGAGAAATCCAAAAGGAAAGGGAAAAGTACTCGTGAGAAGAAAGGAAGGAAGGAAGGAAGGGGAGAAATCCCTCCATCCCTCCATCCCGCACTTCCCCCCGGTCGTTCGTCCCTTTCGTCCACCCATCCCACATTATCATATCAAGTTTCCCACGTCAACGCTCATTCCCATTCTCTTTCCAGTATCATAGATCCGCGCTAACCCCCCCCCCGGGAACTACATACAGTACATCACATTTTATTACCCTGGCTATTATTTGTTGCACTACCGGATAATCCATTATCCTACTGTTAACGCTTCCACGGACTAGAAACTGCTTTACCGTACTGTGCTTAGGCCGGGTCCGGTTCGTCTTGGTGCTTCTCGAGCCTTCGGAGTCGCAAAAAAAACCCTTGTTGCCGTTATGATACTATGATAGCACGCTCGGGAAAAAAACTGGTACAGTACAAAAAAGTTAAGGAAAACATTCGCATTTGGCCTTGAATATCCTTTTTTTAAATTTTTTTTTTTCACCCATTCCAATCATCAATAGTCCCGACAAACCCCATGCCTCGGGGGGGGGGGGGGGGGGGGACTCGAAAGATCAAGTTAATACCAAAGTCCCCCAACATTCCAATCCCGTCAAAACAAAGCAAGATGAAATGAAACAAAAATAAATAAATGACCGTTTCGTATTTTTAAATTTTTAAATTTCTTTTTCGGGGGTTGGGTGTGTAACGGTTTCGTGTTGGGCTGAATGGACGGGCGTATGACAAACCGATTGTGTTGGACCAGACGAGACACTCTAAAATTAATGTCACACATCGAAAACGGAGTTCTTGACTCGATTACACTTCATGACCGGGGCCATTATGGCAGGTTGGGGGGGGGGGGGGGAGGGAGGACCTCGCCTTATGACCGGACGAACCACTATATATAATAAATCTACATGTTTGTACCGTTATAACTTGGTTCCTTACGGTGCCGGTACTGATAGGGAGGTCGGTTTATCGATACAGCCTGGGCGGGCGGGCAGGTAGGGGTAGGTAGGTAGGTAGGTAGGTAGGGATGGGTAGGGTACGATATATGGGAGAGAGAGAGAGGGAGAGGGAGAGAAGAGGAAGGTAACTGTGGACCTCTGTTTGCTGCAGTGATCGACGGATGATCTTCGCGGACCTCTTCTAGCGTTATGCATGCGTGGGTAAGGGGAGTTTAAAATATTATTTTTTCCCTCCTACCTACCTATATATCATATACTATAATGTCATACCGGTACTTGAGGTGGGAATAAGTATTCGGGTGACTTGACAAGTTTTGCATGCGCTGCGACTGTTTTAGCCAAGACTTTCAAGAACCTTATGCGCACGAGCATAATTTTCCTCCACTCAAGTGCATTCAAATTCATCTGATTGATTGGTGAATGAATTGATGGATGGTGGAGGAAGGGAGAAATGGACGGGAGGAAGCTAAGGGTGAGTGTCATGGGTTAAATGGAAATATGCGCATTGCCACAAACAAGTGTGATAGTTAGAAGAAAAAAAAGGTATGGACAGCATACAGCACGCTCCGGCGACACTCATAAGGGGGCCACTGGAACACTGTTGTATATTCTCTACATCTACTCTCCATTGAAATGAGACCAACACCTCATCCATTAGAAACCACGGTTCAAACAAACAAATCTCAAAATCATAACTCCCGAGCCTAATGATGATGAACCGAAGAGAAGAAAACCCGAAGATCCCTGTTTCCCCAAGAGATGAGATGAGGATAAGTAAGAATATAATAGACAGACAGAATCAGTAAAGGAACATAAAAAGATATCAACTCCTTGCTTTCCCATATCCCCCCGATCCAAATTTATTCCTTTATTTTTTTATTTTTATTTTTTATAAACCTCAATAATAATAAATATGTATGAAAATAAACGCACCTTTCCTCAATGCCAAAAGTAAGTAAGCCAGCAAAAGTTTTGTATGATATGCTTTTTGGGGATAAAAGGGCACGGGTAAATGGAAGGGACATGAAGTAGTGAAGTGAAAGGTTAGAGTAAAACGTGAAAGTCGTAAGTTGAAGCAGTCATAATATCGGGGCTGGAACTCCCCGTTTGCAAATAACCCAGGAAATGCCTATCCAAGACCAGACCAATTCAAACACCAAATTTCCCAATTTCACGCCAGTAATACGTTCCCCCAGATGCCGTAAAACCACCCCAAAGGAAAGACACAGACTTAGATATGGAGAAATAAAACAAAAACCGTGAAGTACAGGAGGAACAAAGAAACTAAAATTTGCAGCTACATAAATCTATTTGGTAATGATGGCCAATAACTCCTCAATTAGACGTTAGCAGCAACTCTGATGCATTCAAATACTTCATCACCGCCCTTCCCAACTCGAGGTCTCCTAGAGCCACCATCGAAACTAAGCGAAATATTACTCTTTTCGGGCCCCATTCCGCTACTCGATTCTGAAAACATCCCTCCAAGGCAAAAAGCCTCTGGACGTCTTAAATCAAATCTGTGGAGTGGCTCTCCGGCAATGGCAGCGAGTTCTTTTGGAGTAAAGTTGCTCGGAGAAGGGGTTCCGGTTCCAGGGTTGCAATGAGCGAGGTTAGGTGGTATTGGAGTGGTAACTGCGACCGGAAGCACGCGGGCAGAGCGGCGAGGGGAAAGGTTGTAAGGAACTTCACAGGTGTCTTGAGCCACGGAACCTCTACCCCTTCTTCCTTTCCCATGGCGGGCAGACTGGTGATCGTCAAGCTCGGGAGTAGAGCGTCCGGTAGAAGAGGTGCTTGGCGGTGGTGTGACTACCTGTTCGGGATGCATCGGCTCATGGTATTCAGAAAGAGTAATACTGCTCTTGCAAAAGTCACTCTGTGTCCTCTTATGATCATTGGGCACACCGACATCTCCCGAGGACGAATGAATTCCAAAGGGCCCGGAAAACTCAGCCTTCTCCAACCTTCCACCAGCGCCCGTGGAGGCCTGGCCTGAGGTAATTTCTGCGTGCGAGGGCCCTTTCTTACCCTTTCGATCTCCCTTTTTTGGTGGGATGTTTTTGGCCTTCTTGGAACCCCCAGTGCCCCCACCATCATCCCCACCAGAGCTTCCACTCCCACCATCTGATCGTCTACGCTTCTTCCCAGCCTTGCGCCCGGAAACTCCGCCATCTTCCGCATCCTCCTGTTTGTCGTTATCACCGGAATTTCCATTCCCCCCTTCGTCGCCCCCACCCTCGGCCTCAACAAAAGGTGCAGCCATGCTCAGATCCACATTGGGGAGCAGCTCGACATCAGGGAACTTTCCACCATTCTCTTGAACCTCGAGCTCGATCTTCCCGAGGAGCAAGTAAATATCATCAATAGTTTTTTCCATACCGGTATATCTTATAATCCAGTTACTTCCACCTCCAGCCGAGCTTCGACGTCTTGGGATAGTGGCGCTGTTACGCCTACTGTTTTCACCGCTGGTTGGGCCACCGTCATTAGGCTCCGGATCCTCGTCTGCCATGCCTTCTTCGTCGTCTTCAGCCTCATCGGCGTCTTCGCCATTTTCACCCACCTCCCGGTTCATCCGAAGCTCCTCGCGCCTGCGAACTTTAATAACCCAGTCCTTGACACCTCCCCAAAGTTGTAGCCGTTCGCACTGACGCTTCACCAATATAACTTGCTGCCTTGCGAACCCTCTCGGGTTGCGGTAACGCGATCGTTGATAATGTTTGCGGCAGTAATAAACCCACACGTTTTTGGGAATTTGTCTGGTTGAGAGTTTGTTCCGGCCAAAAATGTGCGACACAACTTTCCGAAGTGGGGACCCTGTGGTGCATACATTGCAATAGGAGCACTTTGGTGCTTCGTTCAGAAAACTCTGTGGTGATGGTGAAGGTACATTCAATGGTCCGGTCCCCGGGGTTGCGGAAGGGCCAATATCAGTAGAATTGGTGTCAGCTAATGTTGGTGTATGGGGCTCTGGTGTTGGCCTAAACAAAGGTGTGTTTTCGTGGCTCATGCTTGCATTATGACCTGTGAGGCAGGCCCCCGCATTTGCCTGAAAACTATTATGAACAACTTGGTCATCTTCTTCGATAGTCCTACCGGTCGAGGCTGCAGAGCCAGCAGAGGGGGGTCTCAGCGCAGGACTAAATGATTCCGCAACTGTTAGCGCGGATAAAAGCACCAGATATAGAGGGGGAGGCTCACTCAAGGTCCAGAAAGAGCGGTTTGTTGCTGGACACCATTCCCTCTTCCCGATCCGCCCTGGGGGCCGGGGCCCGATTGGCTTGTTCCCTTGAAGTAATTGTAGTAGGGGCAGAATTACGCCTAATTGAGTCTTCCACAAAAGGCCCCCCACTCTGTCTGCGGCCGGCCTCAGCAGCGGCCCCCATTTCAAAGTTTTTGCGTCCAACAGGCGTGGCAGTCTCCGTAGCGACCACCGCAAAATTCATTAATGCATTACTACGAACATGCTCGTGCGGTTGCTGCGGGAAAAAAGGTTGGGGGTATTGCTGTGACTGTTGTGGAGATTGACCTTGATAAAATCCACGAGATGATGAAAAATAACCTATTTCTGTTCCCGTTTGATGGGGATAATGGCCAGTGGAGTGTGGGGATAGTGGACCATCACACACAACCGAACCGGGAGGACCAGAGGGAACCATGGTGATCAAAGGCGGCAATGTCCTTCCAGGAAAGGACGAGCCTGTCCCGGAAGCTGTCTCCGCAGTTTCATGTATCTGACCGGAATGCCCTAACCTATCGTTGGTCGCCGAGATGGGGGGCATCGGTGCTTCCAAGGGGCTGGTAGCAGCGGTAGAAGAGTGCAGCGAAGGTCCACTGTAAGAGCTGCGAGATGAGATGGTGCCCCGAGAAAGATTAGTGGATTGCTGGTGGGGAGAATAGTGTAAAGGTAACTGAGATGAAGTAGGTTCAACTCCAGATGTACCATGAGAAATGTGGTGGAGCGAGAAGCCGACGTCGGTGGGCGTGTGAATAGATTGAGCGGCCCTATACGTGGATGTATTTCCCAGATTCACGGTGTGGGGGTCTGAGGATGGGCCCTCATTGAGAAGACTGTTAATTCTCATGGCGACAGACTTTTGGGGTAAAGAGTGTAGGTTGAAAAAGAGGGATGTTTTTGACGTGGTAGAGGGGTCGTTAGGGTCGCTACTGGCAATCAAGAGAAATGGTTGGTCGAATGCTGCGTTTGCTCTAAGGGATTGTGATCGACGGGAGCTATGAAAGTGTCACGGAGACAATGAGATGGTGGGTGAACGAGTAGATGTTGTTGGATGGAAGATGGGAGGAGTCGAGAGATCTGTGGCTTATAAGAAGTGGTTATCGTGAAGACGCTGTATCCGTGGGGCAGCTGCACTGTCGAGGCTTCGTAAATGATAATTCAATTGTATCTCGCACGCCTTAGTGTTGCGGCGAGTGCCCGTCAGTTGAGAATTGAATTTCCGTTGAAGTGAGCCGAGTGACACTGTCTGCCCGTCTTTCCTGCCTTTCTCTCCCACACATACGCTAGCCTCCAATGCTCCAAACACCGCCAATAGGTGTTTTTATTCTATTTTTTTCGTCTTTATTTTTTTCCCCGGCCGTCCGTCTGTAGATATGTTACCAGTCTATCCGACAGCCTAGCTTGGGGAATTCTAAGGATCCAGGCACGGGCAAGGGGATGAGAGAAAAGGTGAGCGATGACGGTGGGATTGGTGACACTGCGCACAGCCAACCAAGGGCCAGCCAGATGCGGTAGTAACAGCAGAAGAGCAGCAGTGTAGAAGATCGAAGCCGCAGACAGTAGGTTAGGTCAGGTCACCTCCCCTCCCCGCAAAAAAAAGATATGTAGAACGAAGGGATCGGGATCTTTCGTTGGGGGGGGGGGGATGGTTGTTCAGCTGATGTGGTGTGCCGTTTAGACTTCCACGCAAAGGCACGGATACTGCCCACAAATTTCTCTGATGGATGATCGGACGACGGGTGCTCGTTGCAGTAATTGAACAGGAGGGGCAGAATAAGGATACCGGGGGAGGGGGGGGTGCGAATGAATGAGAATTGAGCAGAGCGCACACCAATGCGTGTGAACGGGAATGGAGAGAATAAAATAATAAAAATAATAAAAAAGCGATAAAATAGGCTGGAGAAGTAAAAAATAAGAAATAAAAAAATACTCCGGCAGTCGAGATTTGTGGGGGGTTTTTTTTTCCCCTTTCCCTTTCCTTCTCTCACTTCCCGATCTCTTTGGAGATGGTTTTTATTTTTTTATTTATTTTTTATCCCTATTCTTTGCTTCCTTCTCTACCTCCCTTCCTATGCTTGCTTGGGGGGGTTTTTTTTTTTTGTTTTTCTGTTTCTGTTTCTTTTTGTTTTTTGTTTTTCTTTCTCTTGAGCCTCGACTCCCTATTCTTGCTTCCCTTTATTTTATTTTCCTTCCCTATCCCCCCCTCTCGGCGTCGCTGCTGCTGCTGCTTCTGCTTTCACCAAGTCCTGCATACGACTCAACGCCCAACACCGCTGCAAGCCAATAAAGCTATTCAGATCCGCAATGACGGCCGAGTAACGGCGCCACGGGCGATCTGGACGAGTAGGGACCCTGTACCGTAGGTACCGCTGCTCTAACCAAGACTCCTGTCACGCCCTGTTGATGACGGACGGAATTTTAGGTGGAGAGAGGGAAAGCACGGCGGGCAGGATAGGGTACGGTACGGTAGTGCTTGTTGTTTGCTTTGGGGGGGGTGAAGGAGGGAGGAGGGGTGGGAAGGATGGGATGGGCTCGTGCAGGAGCAGCAGTCTCTCTGGCTGCAGTGCCAGCCTAGGAAAACCAAGGGCCCACTGTGTTTGCGACCGAAAACAACCCTGGATGTTGGACTACGCTAGTCGATAATAGGTTAAGCGCTGCGTGAAACTTGGGGAGAGGGATGACGACTGGTTCCTTATGCGAGAAACACTGATTGTTATGCGGGGAAAAGGCCTGGGCACAAACTCCACTTCATTCATTCATACCACATCAATTGCCCAATAGTAGCCCAAGTATACCGCTTTGTGAACATGAGAAATCGTTGGATCCATCGTGGGCAGCCCGATGCCACAGCACTGCTCGCATTCTTTGAAGGAATCCCGACATCAAAAGCGCAGCAAGCGAGGGGGGCGGGAATCTCGCTTTCGCCGAGCGGGAATATGGACACGGGGACCCCGAGAGGTTACCCTACTTGGCTGACGTATATCCCGAAGGCATGAGTGGGGTACGATTGTGTGGGAGCACTCGGCTCGGAAAAGTTCTCTTCGGCAGAGATGTGCCGGATGACCTGATGGTTATGCCGGTGCTTTATCAGAGTGTATGGCAGAAATGCCGGACAATGTGTGAGTTGTTTCATGGAACATGGCAGAATATAGCACTTTTTATACCCAGCCATAAGGTAGACTAGAGTACTGTACAGTGCGGTACAAGTATCGTATAGATTTGTATAGATGAAAAAATAAAATAAAAAATAACATACCGGTACACCCGACCAACGGGCCAGTTCGGACCAGGGATTGGCCGCATTCTTTGACGCAATCACATAAACCCGGGTTGAAGTCCTGCTAGGGGCGGAATGTCCCCGCTTCTCCACCGCTGCAGGAGTGCCATCGAGTACAGTATGATAGATTCACCACCACCACCAACAACAACCACGCCATCCACGGGCTATTATTTGGGAGGGTTCGGAAGGATTGGGGATGAAAATAAGATGAAATAAAACAGAGGGGGTTAGCTTCGGCGGGGATAAGTGCACCAAGCTTTGAGCTTCGCTTGAAGACTTTTCACAACTCCGAAGGTGGTCGGGGGAGTCTCCTCAGCGTTCCCCGGGAAATACTTGGGGCTCTGCCGCTCGTGTACGGGCACATAGGATGAACCAAAAGTGTCAAGCGGCCGTCGCTGGCTTTGTTTCCCCAAAGCCCTCCAGACCCGGTCTCCGTAGCACATTTTGGCGTGCCGCCGCGGCTTGTGCAAGCAAAGGATTGTGACGGGAGCTTTTTTCCGGTCCCCTAGTCCTCTATTCGAGCAAGCGATGCGAACCCTTTTTCGGATCATGGCTTGAAACCGCTTCATCCCCTCGTTAGATCCCAGCTTGGTGCTCGGATATTGATCGCTCGACGCTTCATTCCAGGGTTGATGCTTGATATCTCATGCGACTCTAAAAATTAAAAAAAAAAAAATTAAAAAAGCCCCAACCGTTTGCTTGTTTGAGGCTCTTTTTGAAACTTTTGGCTGGCGCTGTTATGATAAGAATCAACGGAACTTACTCGAGTACCGGTACCGTAGGAAGAGCAGCAGCCATTTCCTCCCTGGCTTTTCATGGGTCAGCAAAATTTACCGGCATGCGGGACCTTCTTGAAGATAATCGAACCCCCTACGGTACATGAATATTTCGGCATGTCTCGAACTAACTAATATTTTGCCCGAATGGATGGATGCTTATTGAAACATTGTCTCATCAAGTCATCACAGAGAGAAAAGCTCTTCGAGTACGGTAGACTCCCGTACCGGTATCTTAACGTTTGGAGCAAAGATCTATCATCCCGCTCAACGTTAAAACATTTGAGGTTCCTTGTCCGGCGCATCTGGCAGCTTACGATACGATATATCATATATCAAGATTTTTTTTAGACTTTTTTCCGTTGATTGCCCGTCGAAACAGTGCTTGTAACTTGTCACTGAAGTTGTGGCCGGCTGTCTTACCTCGAGGCTGTGAATGGCCAGGAAAGGCTCCGGTCACGCCCCAAGCACAATAGGTTGTAAAAGGATACTGAGCGGTGGGGGCAGTAGTTTCTTTAGTAATATTTACTGTATCGTGTTTCCCGCGAACATCATCTAACGGGGTTAAAAGCGTCGCTTTCGTGGTTTTTTTTTCTGGACCCTCCCACTCCCTTTTTTCTGAACGGCTGAGGGCATTCCCGAGCGCAGCAGCATTACGGTACCGTCTTGTGCTAATCGAGGTTCGTCATAGTATGATGGTCCAACACTTTTTCCTTTTTCTTTCCCTCTTCGGATAGGCATCAGAGAGCCACACGAGATGAGGTGAGGGTGCGGCAGAGCGAGTGAGAACGACCACCAGGAAGTAACTCTGATACTTGATGTTTTGACTTTATCCACTGGAATTCTACCGGGAAACTCAGTAGCGCGGGGAGGGGCTCCTTACCTCCGACTCCCGACGCTCCCGGGACAGCGGGTTTGGGGGGTGAAGGGCGACTAGAGGCATCGAATACATTACGATGATCAAGGTAAATTACCATGCTGATATCTTGCCGAGTTCTTTAGAGTTGGTAGATACATTTACAACGTTGCGCAAAGGTTTCATCCGGATGCTAACCTCAGCTAGGTTTGGCGGATTCCGCAGGGGACAGACAGTCCAGGCCTATGAACACATGACACGGCATCTCGGATCACCTGCGGGTTCATAACAAATTTCTCCCGCTCCCCTTTTCCGCACGGATAGGGCAAGGTAGAAAGAAGGAGAGAGAAAGAAATTACTCGAGACTCTGCCTTAGATCATGGCAGCGGGGGCTCTCTCTCGGAATCGGTGCCAAAGTAAAGAAATGAAAACTGAGGAAAAAAAGATCAAGGCTTGTGAAAGGGTTTCTAGTGCACCGTACAAACCCCTTCCCCAAGTACTCGAGGTACCTTCGGTATGTTTTCAGCAGCGGGAAGCTGGGCAATCGCTGGTAATGAACCAGATAAGGCTTCAACACCAGGATCTATCGGATGCCGGTTCTCAAGAGCATCTCTGACATGCATGCATGGTGTCTAGCGAGAAGTGAGCTCTCGACGCCTCTCAGCAGCCAGAAATCTACCGGTACCACTGGTTCCGACACAGTGCACCCTCCGATGAGAGTCATCAGCCCTTGATAGGTCGACGACAGTTACACCCCTTCCCAACATAGAACTTTCGAAACAGTGAGGGAGGGGGGGGAAGGATCATTGCTAAAAGCCAAGAGCGATCAGTCTCGTGATGGCTCCTGATGACACTTTTATAGCTTGAGCCGTCGAGATAAGAAACTTACGGTGCCGAAAAACAAAAATAGCGTGTGTAATCAGCGCTTGTCATGGAAAGGGCTCTTATGAGCCCTTCCAATGCTGATGATATTAGCCGACAGTGTTATCTGGACCTCTTTATTTCTGCGCAGAAGTGGTTTGTCCTGAAATGGGTGGGTTTCGGGGGGAATGTTTACTTTCTAGGCTTTTCGCTGCCAGCAGCGCTCGATGGCCATGTGCCACGTTCTTATCCAAGATGCAATGGTGAACTACTCGTACAGGGACAGTTTGAAAAAGTCTCCCTAGTCGTTGGGGTAGAGCTTGATCCGGGTATTTCCATCCGTGTTCAAACCCTCCATGCTCTTCCTCGCCTAACTCTCCTCCAGGGGGCTCATGTGGGAACGCCGAATGGCTGTAGGGATCCTTAGGTTCCGGCATGGGTTGGCATTGCGGAGTGAGTAAATCCATGGAATTCCCGCTGCTTTCCCCATCTTTCCCGACTTCCCCCTCCATTCAGCCGAAAAAGTGAGCAGAATGGGGGGCGCAATCAGATATCGGAAGACGGAACAAAGCAGGACTTGAAGCCCTGGATTACATTTTGGGCTCTCCGCCACGGCTCGAGTGAATTGCTCGAAATTATGTTTCCTACGGACCGACAAAACTCCCCCGCCCCACACGCAGAAAAAAAAAGAACACCGGTCACACCCGCTCACTCGAATACCGCTACCGGTGATGCTAGAAACCTTGGCGGTCGTGATGTGACACGAAAGAATTTGTTTTTGGAGGTCGTTCAGTCTCACGTGCGGCTGAAAGAGGAAAACCTCAACGACCTGTGGATCGTATCACGTAAGTGCCGCTGTTGCAGCTGGGGCCGTTTGGATATCATACGAAGATTTGCCTTTTTGCCAATTTATCGGTAGTATTTTTGTTTTTGTTCGTTTTTTTCCCTTCCCTTTTTTTGTTCGTTCCCGCGTTCTTTTCTTTTCTTTTCTTTTTTTGCGTTTTATTCAAGTGAAGCGGAGGTTGGTCTGGTGCTTCTGTTTGTTATTGCGCGCACGGATGGTAGAACGGGAGACATCTGGGGTTCGAGGTGGTGGATTTCTAGAGGTTGATATTAATCCGTTTTGGGGTGTGATAAATTAGCTACAGAAAAGCTTGGATGGATGGATTGCATCGCGGTGATCATTGTCATCGACCCGGCAGCAGCTCCCAGTAAGGCATACAGTGCACGCATTACAATATGCCTGGTGCTTACTGCAATATCGGGATTTGAGCGTGAAGTCCCACAGCAGGGAAAGCTTTGACGCACTTGATATATATATTAGGGGGTGTCGATGATCACCAGCCTCTTTCCCGGAGAGATTACCGCGAGTGCAGACTTTTGGTGCGCCTTCGTTAGCAGCAGCCTGTCGACGGGCGAAGCGCTAGGGTTGCCTGGTGCGGAGTTTACCAGTTTACCAACTGGTAGGTTTCAGCATGGTTATATTAAGTTTAATATCCCTGGCTCCGGAGCCAAGGTTGTGGCTGCAGAGTTCAATAAGAGTGGAACGAGGATGTTGCATAAGGAGCACTTGAGTGCCGGAGAGGTCTACAATCACCTCAACCAGCCGGTGAGCACCAGGCAGTGTACCGGGTTTGTATACGGCTAGGCTAATGGGTGTGCGAGTGTATATAACATCCTGCTGTAGTGCTTGATTGCCGTCCCAGCTGTATGGCGTATGGCCGGAGGATGTGAGCTCTTATCGTTTGAAATTTAGTCACACGGGCTCAACAGCCTCCCAGTTGTCTCAACCCGGGCTGTGCTCGTACAGTACATGGGTAGAGTGAACATGGTATCGGGCGCACCCTCAAGGGTTCGAAATCAGTTGACGTGTACCCCTAGGGCTGTTAGTGCAATGGAGAAAGACACCAGTGGCTACTCTTCAAGTACCGGTATCGCGGCAGACGTAGATGTACTCGTACACACATGGCTTCACCCCCCACCCCAACTTGAAGGTACGGACTAACTCATGACAGATTCCTAACGGGTGCTTTGTATCACTTGGTTGCAAGACGTTGAGTTCCAACGACCCATCAACTGCCCTCACCTGAATGGGCTTTTGCTTCTGCGCGCCTGATCGGCTGTGGGGTGTGGAATAGTAATTTATCGACGAGATTTTTTCGCGGGGTGTGCCCCGCAATTTCATGGCAACGGCCAGGCAGATAACGGACCACAACCGGCTCTAAGGTTGAGAGATATTCCCGGAAAATTGTTCCATGCGGTGTACGGTATTGTACCGCTGGCCGGAAACAGCGTCCTTTGGCACACTTGCGGAGATACTGAAGAGATTCTGAGTGAAGCTATGCCAACACTCGAATCCTTCGAACGATCATTTTAGAATCTGGTTTAACCAGTCTATGTCAGGAGTAGTCCTGAACACATGCCCTGATACGGTAGGAGCACAGGGCGGCCACCAATTCGCAGTTGGGATGGAAACGGAATGTCTCTTTGGTGGTGTCGCCTTCACTGCTCTCCAGCGTATTTCCGGGCACTTGGGTGGTTAGGTAGTCTACTCAAGGGTATTTTTGAACGCACGGAAGATCCTAACCATGAGTCTGAACGAAGACTACATTACGTTAACTCTGTAACGCCCCGCGCAGCCCAGGCAGAACCCAGTGTCAAGAGACCGCTAAGCCCCCCACCCCCGAGGTATTACTTAAAAAGTTTTTCTGGCGAACAGAATTTGTGCCTGGCGTGATGAGATGCTACACGTCCAAAGGCTTGAAGCCTCCTTTGGGAAGCAAGTAGAAGCAGATTCGGGATCTTGCAAGTCCGCACTGACCACTTGTAATGCATCCTGATACCGAAGTCTCCACCAATTTTTATGTGCAGAGAGA